CTGCTCCCCGCGCCTGGTGCTGCTGGGGTGCGGGCACGGAGCGCTGCTCCCCGCGCCTGCTGCTGCTGGGGTGCGGGCACGGAGCGCTGCTCCCCGCGCCCAGGGGAGCTGGCCCCATGAAAGGCTGTGGGGTCCCATGGGTGACTCTGGAGCCCGTCTCTCCGAGAAGCTCCGGGTGCCAGAGAGCCACGCTACTCCCGGGGGGATGCGGGGCGCATGGGAAGCCGTGGCGGGAGCGGGGCTCGCTCTGTGAGCACAGCGGGGTGGCAGGAGCAGGGATTGTCCCCACGTCGAGGCCAGGCCGCCGCAGGGGAGGGTGGCTGGGCAGCRTGTCCGGGGGCCAGGCTCACCCAGGGTATTCTTAGTCGCATTTTTTCCGGATGGGATAACTGAGAAGCCCAGGTTGGGCAGYGGGGCCGGCAGGCGGGATAGGGGAGAGCCGGGTGCGAGGTGGAGGCGGCGCGGCCATTCCGGGCCATGGACAGCGCTGCGGGCGAGCAGCCCGCGCACGGCCCTTCCCGCCGCGCCGCCTCGCCGCCTTCCGCGCTCCATTTCGCCCGGTTGCCATGGAAACGTCCATGTCACTGATTCCTCCGGCTGTTGCCAGGGATGCGCGGGGAGCCCTGGGAGGCTCCGGCGGCCCCGGGGTGCCGCGACAGCCGGGCAGGCCGAACGCAGCACGTGTGCCGAGCGGCGGGGCCGGCCACGCGGCGCCTTCCCGCGGCCCCGGTGCCGGCGCTTCCCGGGTAAACAGGAAATCTGCCGGCGGAGCCGCTGCATTATTCATCGGCGCCTCTGTTCCGCGATTCCTGCCTCGCGCTCCCGCGGGGGAGCCGCGCGGCGGGAGCGGGACACGGGGGCTCCCGCGGGCCAGGCGCCCCCGTCACTCGCCCGCGCAGCTGCCGCTGTGACAAAGCCTGGCTTTGTGGCCCCGGGGGCAGGTGGCCGCCGGCGCCGCGCGGCCGGGCGCGGGGCAGCGCCCGGGAGGGGGGAAGCGGCCGCGGGGATTAGGGCAAATCCGCGGCGAGGTGTGAATCCGGGCCCGCAGCAGGCTAAGCCCCGCGCGGATCTGCTGCCTCGGGAGCAAAGTGGCTTTAGCTCCTGGCGCCTTAATCCGCCCGGCTTAGGCGCTGCCCTGTGCAGCGGCCCCGGCACGGGCACCCGCGGCCCTTCCCGCGCCGGTTTCCCTGGCAACGGTGGCGGATGCTGCTGCTCCGCACGGCGCCGAGCGATGCCCGCGGGCCCCGAGCCGCCCGCCCGTCTCCCTGTGCTCCCGCTGGCCGCCCAGCACCAGCGCGCGGGCCTGGCGCGCGCCCCTGTCTTGGCATCGGGGCCCGTTGGGCCTCGTTGCACGGCCAGACGGGGGGAGAACAGCCGGTAATGATGAAGGGGAAGGGGAGGCAGGGCAGCGCAGCGGTCGCTGCTCGCCGGGGTCACCGCGGCCGGGCGCAGGGCAGGCGCGCGGGGCCGCGGGCGCTGCGTCTCGTCAGGCGGCACATGCCGCCGTCAGGGCTATCTGCGCCTCCCCACAGCCCCGCGCCGCTCCTGCCCTTTAAAGGCAGCGTCGCGGCCGCCCTTATCAGGGTGGCAGATAGCGCCCGCGGCGCCCCCGGCCCGGCACCCCCGCCACAGCGCTGCCAAGGGCACGGAGCGGCCGCTCCAATCGTGTCCCGGGGGAATAAAACATGAACCCCYCCAAATAACAAAGTCCCCCGAGGGGTGGCAAAGGAGGTGGGAAGTGCCTGGCACCTGAGCCTGCTCCAGCATGTGTGACAGGCACCTCCCCGGATGGTGGGAAGGTGCAGACAGTGCCACGAGGAGCTGGGCATCCGTGTGCCACCGCGATGCGGGTGGAGAGCCTGGCCGCAGAGATGCTGCATTTATGGTCCTGCTCGCGCCAGGAATGCAGAAAATTGCAAAGCCCGGGGCAGGAATCCGCTGCGCTTCGTCCTGTCCTCACTTGACTTTTTTCCAGCGGAGGAGGAGGAGGAGGAGGAGGAGGGGGAGAGCAGAGGGGCTTCCTCCCCGCGCTGCAGCCCGACCACAGCGCCCACCTCGCTGCACGACGCGGCCACCAGCGGCACGTGGCACCCAGGGACACACGTAGAGGGACCTGCGTGGGCCAAGGCCCCAACCCAGCAGCGAGCCCGGCCGCAGGCTGCAGCTTTCCTGGGCAGTGGGAAGCGCAAACCCCTGGTGTTTTACAGCTGGCAGCACCGCCCCAGTGACATCCACCTGCCAGAAGGGGCATCTGAAGGGGCAGAGCTGCTGCTCTGGGCTGTACGTGCCCATGCAGGCTGCTGCACAGCGCGCAGGGCGGCCGTGTGCCTGGGTCACACAGTAGCACAGCTCGCACAACGCTGTTAAGGAGAAGCTGATGCAAAAATGCACTTAAAATGCAAGGTGGAAGAGGAGGGAATGAAACCTTGCTAGGATACACCCTGGGAAGGGCATCCTTATGGCCAAACGTGTAAGGGATCCTCCAGGGCCAGGGCAGGGCACTCGGGTGGCTGGAAGCCGCAGGGCTGGCACCCCCAGGCGGCCGCCGAGCGGCTCCGAGCGGCGATTCCAGCAGGTCCGGCCCCCTCCTGCAGCCGGCAGCGCGCGGGGCCGAGGGGCAGCTCCGCCGGGAGCGCAGCGGATCCGCCGGGCGCCGCTGCCCCGCCTRCTTTTCAATTATGGATAGGGAAACAGGAGAAGCGATGCGGGCCGAACCTGTCATTATCTGCCGGGTTGCGCAGGCAGCGGCAGCCGCCGCCAAGCAGCAGGCGCCGAGAGGGAGGCGGCGGGGAAGGGACGCGCTCAGACCCAGCGTGTGCCGCGCGTCGCCCCGGGGCTTCACCCCGCCGCCCTCCAGATCCCCATCGGTGTGTCCTGCACGTAGCCCCAGGCTTCACCCAGGTCCCCGTGAGCAGGAGGCCGGCGGCTCATTCCGGGTTTCAGCCTGGGCGCCGCGCGCGCGCTCAGAACACACAAAAAGCAGCCGGTTTCACAAAAGCTCACTTTCCAGGTTTATTAAGTAAAGTTAACTGAATTGATCTCGTTTTGTGGGGATTCCTTCCTGCGCAGCGCAGCGGCGGGGCAGAGCCGCACGGAATCACGGTTGGACTTGTGATAACCCAAATACAACTTTGGCTCATCTCACTGCTGACACATATGGAATGACTTGGGGGTTATTACATGCTGTGTCTGCTGGAGGCAGGTACAGGTACAGATCAGCACAAGTTGCAAATGATAGTTTACATCCTTTCAGAACAGAGCAGGGCATTGAGCAAATGCACTGCAATGAGAAGACATATGAAAAAGAAATTATACAGACTTGCAAATACATAGTAAGTTCAAGAGATGCAAAAAACCTCAAACAAGAAATGGCAAGGGAGGAAAAAAACCACTTAATTCCAGACACAACGTGTTCAAATTAAAACCCAGGTGTAATTTAAATTCCCTTCAAAATGGGAAACGTACAAGAACGCAATTGAAGAGAACCCAGGCTGCGCCCYGGCCGCGACGTGTCCCGAACCCCGTCGCACCAAGAGGTTCAGCACTGCAGGCAAAAACGTGCCGGGAGCWCCGGGAATGCTGCTCCCGAGGGAATTGCAGGGTGGGCTCGGGAAGGGAGCCACACGGGGCAGCGCGTTGGGCGCTGCTCTGCCCTCCCTGCCTCGCTCCTTCCTCGGCCCCGGCGGCTCCCGCCTCACGCGAAACAATCCATTAAAATCAACGGCCAAAGGGAACCGGCTGGACCTGGCGCGGACCGTCAGCTCGAACAGCGGTGAGAGGGGGGGAATTTATCTACAAAAGAAACCATATAAATGAAATAAAAAATGGCACCGTCCACAAAATTAAAAAAAAAAAAAAAAAGAAAGAAAAAAGGTACAACGCAGCCTTGTAAAATTGGCTTTGCAATGAGAGCTCGGTCACAAAATGAAGGGTTCTAGCTCTTCGTACATCAGAAGAGGAAACAAAGCTAAAAAGTACTAGTCCACATTCTCTTAATAAGTTAAACTTACTTTCCCTCCCCTGTCTACAAAAGGGGTAGAAGCAAAGGGGAAAATAGGCTACCAAAAATCAAAAAAAAGAAAAAAAAAGGGAAAAAAAAGGAAGAAAAAAGGAAGAAAGAAGGAAAGAAAGAAAGAGGAGGAGGAGAGAGCGCGCGCAAGAGAGAGCAGTCTGTGGTCAGAGGCTCAGAGCGGGGCCGAGTTCCTTTCAAGGGTTCYGAAGATGCCGAGCAGTCCCTCGGAAGCGGCCCCTCCGGCCGAGCCCTGGCTCCGCGGGCGCCGCGGCCGCGCCACGGGAGGCTCCGTCAGTCCTCGATGACGATGGGCTCGTCGTTGACGGGCTGCCGCAGCGGCACGGCCGGCGCGGGCCGCAGCACGATGGGCTTGTAGGGGCGGCGGGCGGCGCGCTTGGCTTCGCAGGAGGAAAGCAGCTTGCGGATTTTCCTGCGGACACAGGGGAGAGGAGAGCAGCCCGTGAGCGAGGGCGGGCGCCGGCACTTGGTCCCCGCGCAGCTCCGAGCCCCGGCACTGATGCCAYGGGGAGAGCCTCGACTGCACCCACRCTCTGCACCTCCTCCCGTGCTGCCTGGCCCGACCTGGAAACCTGAGCGGTTCCTGTCTCGTGCTCGCTAGGAATTCCCGATGCCAGAGGAAGGAAAACCAGTCTTACTGGAGGCAGGAACAGGCTGCCAGGAGAGGAGAAAGCAAACAGTCTCCTCAGCTTGAATGAAGGGGGGAGACACACTCGAGGTTTCAATTTTTAGCAAAATAAAGCAGAAAGGGTCAAGARAGGATGATTACTTGCTGCTTTCCATCAATAAATATCAGGTTCAGAGCTAAAACCTTTAACTCCCTAGGTTTTTCATTAAAATTTGGGAGGTCTGCAGGGTGGTGTGGGGGTCAAAACAGGCAGAAGTGAGAAAGGAAAGTTAAGATACAGGKTCTCACTTAAGCTGCTCTGGTCACCCAGCACTGCTGGGGCAACTCTTCTCAAAAGACAGCGCCTTGGATGGAATTCTTCCCTTTCCCCTAAAATTTACCCTGCTCACTGGGAGCAGTGAGAAATTAACACTGATCTCAGCTGCAGACTTGGTGTTTTCTTCACCTGCACTCCCCTCCATAAAACAGCACTGGAGGAGGAGACACGGGGCCTGCCGCGGGAGCGGACACAAAGCCGGGATTGTGTCCGGGCTCCCAAACAAGGCACGCGTTCCCGGCGCTGGAACGCAGCAGATGGGCCGGGGAAGGGCTGGAGGTGGCGCGCGCGGTGCCGATGCCGCCGAGCATGTCGGGCCTGGCTGCTCCTCAGCGCGCTGCCGAGCTGCTCCTTGCGGCGCGCGCCGGGCCGGGCCGCTCCGGGACAAAGGAGCCCCGTCCTCTCCGCCAGCGCAGCACATGAGGCCCCGTGGAGCTGATGTCCATCGCTGCGCTGCAACCTCTGCCCGTGGGCTGCAGGAGCGGACGCTTCCCATGGGCAGGGTCATCCTCGAGGAGAATCCGCACCACTCTTCCTCGAGGAGAATCCGCACGACTCTGTGTACATCCAAGAGCTGGAGCCTGCAGACGTTTCTACCGGGACCCTGCAGCGCGTCTCGAGGGCTGGATGATAAAGGTGTCAACAAGCATCTTGCAGACTCGGCTGCTACGAAACGGGCTTTGAGCTTCTAAGGAGTGAGCTGAGAGACCGACGAGCCCGTGTTTGAAACGGCAGGTGAATGTGCCAGAGCTCGAAGTTGGTAACAGGATCCYGCTATCTCTCTCTGGCACAGGAGAGCAACAGGGACAAAAGAAATGGTTTCCCTTGAAAATGATTCCTCTCATCACTTCTCTTCCAGGTACAGAAGAATTCCACTCCTTGCTTTCTCACGGAAAGAAGGGCAGAAAGGGAGAAAGTGAGGAGACTTGGAGAAGATGAGGAGCAGAGGGAAASAGCACAGCACACATCACCTGGGCGCCCAGCGAAGGAGGTTACACTGCTAAGGGGCTTAAGAGATCACATTAGTGACCTTAAATCTGACAATCTTCTTATCCATCCGAGTTACACGTCCAGGCCTTGTGCTAAGAGATTTCTTCAGCTCTCCTTTCTGAGCACGGATTTGGAAGGCCCTGCGTGTCGCCTTTCCTGAAGAACATTTCATCAAGGCAAACCAGTGCTACAGCCCAACAGGAGCCCAGTCTCAGAGAGGTCACCTACGCTTTCCATCAGCTTCTTTGGGCCTCGCTGGAATTCAGCTGGGCACTTCCAGCAGCTCCCTGAAGGTCCCGGCGGCTCCTTGCAGCAACCTCACAGAGATGGAAGGTGCAGGATGACCAGGGCTTAGGAGCTCGCGGGGACACGGCCTCCAGCGCCGCTCCTCACTGCTGAGACCGCAGCGTCCTTTAAGACTAGGAAAGAGGTGCCAGGCAGCTGTAACTGCACATGGCCACGCTGAGGACCACTTCTCCCATTTGAACTAAATGCTTTTCCTTTTCCCTTCCCTACAGCCTTCCAGGATCCCAAGCTGTCCCAGCTGACTTGGCTAGAAGTCATTATGTTGCTTCTTTAAGAGAGGCAGACACGAAACACAGCAGCATTAGGGGATCCCCAGGAACGGGCTGACAGGGAAGTGAACTGCACATTTCGTCCCAGTTCTAACCAGGGGGTTTCCTGCAGAGCCCCCTCTTATCAGCGATGCTGTTTATCTGATAGCCCCAGGGATGAGCTGTAGTAACCTGACCACCACCACTCTCAGCCGAGCCACAGAGCAGCCCTTTGGCACCGGGCCTGCAGAAYAGCCAGCCGACACTTGAGACGCTCCGGACACCAAAAAGGAGGCTGAGGATGCCGGGACTGGCACTCGGGCCCCGGAGCAGCCTCTGGCTCAAGGCCCATCAGGGCACCGAGTGCAGCTGACACTCCAGCCTTTGGATGCAGAGAAGGAAGCGAGAAGGCTCCTCTGCTTGCAGGGATGGATGCAAAGAGGCAGCCCAGGACTTGCTTGGAGCCTCCTCAAGGTGACCMATGAGAGAGGCTTCAAGTCCTTGGGAGGAGAGAGCACAGGGAAAGGTCTCTACCTTTCCCACTGTACCCAATATTGATACTCTCACTGTATCAGTAACACAGCACTAGGAACACGGCCACAAAAGCTTTGCTTTAGGAATCGGGCCACGTAGCTTCTACTGCGTCATCCACGGCCTCTATATGGAATTTGGGTGTTTTCCTCATGCATGGAAAGCTTCTTCCCTTATTATTTTTATTCTGTGGGCAAAGTAACAAGGCAGACCGGTGTAAGCAGCAATGCAGAAGCAGGAATACTGACACTTCAGGGCTTCATGTGGCCACTTCTGGCGAGGAGGAAACACCAAATAAATGAAGTAACTCCACACCTTCTGTGTCACTTACCGTATTTCATTGCTCAGCTCGGTTCAGGGAGAGACAGTCTGAGAAGTAATGCACAGATTCAGCACAGAACAGGGCACGGAGGGAGCACACAGCCCCCAAACCTTCTTCTGGCCTAAAGAACCTGATCTCCTTTGCACAACGCAGGAGCACCACAAGGTTGGAGTGTGCACGGCTGTCTGCAGGTGTAAGGCAGCAGCTTCCAATACTGCATTTTAACACAGTTTTGGATACAAATGAAGCCAGGCTTTAATAGTAAGCAGAACCCCATGCAGAGGAAGCTCTGCACCTTGGCAGTATTCCCAAGCCTGGCAGCCTCTATTCTGTGACTCAGATAGGGCCTCTCCAAAGGCATCTGTGGGTCTGAAGAAAGGTGAAGTCCCCTTTTGAGCCTTCCTCCCCTCACTGCCCATCTCCCACAGGAGCGGTTCCAGAAGGAAAGGCATCTGCTTGCTCTGGAATGCAGGTGCATGAGGAGGCACACCAGGCAGAATTAGCTCTGTCTTGGTCTGACTGAATGCCTGATGTTGGTTCTGCATTCAAGTTGTAGCAACAGGTCTGCTAAGGAGATCCCCAGCTAACCACGAGACCAGCTGCAGTGCCCTGGAGAAACAGCAAGCAGAACATCTCCCCTCATCCCCCTGCAAAGATCCAGTCTCCTACCTGGTTTCTTCAGTGGCCATGTAAAAAACATCGTCTGGTGCATCAATCCAGTTCATCCTCCTCCTTTTCACCGGAGGCATGGATCCACCACGAATTAATCGGACTTTTGTTGGGTATGATTTCCCATTGAGCAGCAAGTTTCGGCTTGGTCCCTGACGCGACACACAAAACAGGACAATTATGGACTGCGACCAGCCCGTGACAAGCACTCAAACAACGGAGAGGAGGAGTCAGGTTTGCGTATCAGATGCTGAGAGTTTCTGCTCAACACATCCCCCCTGGCAGTGTTCACAAAAAAGTGCAGAATTCACAAAAAAAGCAGCGGGCCACAAGCACTAGAAGTGAGGCACCTCTGATATAGGACTGCAATGCTCCAACAGCAGGATGGACAGTAAATGGAAGGTAGCACCAATGATCTGTGGCTTGTGCCTAAAAGATGACACCAGGCTTGAAAGGTTGAGTGTAAGACTTTCGTTTCAGCTACTACCATAAACCTAGAGCAATTCCACTGATTTYAGGGAAAGAAACCTAGTTGTGCAGCAAATGAGTTACAAAACTCAGAGGCTAAAATTGCCCTGGGATGCCAAACTTACCTACATCATTTTTGTTCTAGGGGGGTTAATATTTCATGACAGGATATAATTAAATGCTTTTGAAAAAATACCCTAGAACTACAAGCTCAACAGCTTGTATCATAGAGCCCTTGTGGCMTTTAACAACAGAGATCTCCCCTACGTAATACCCTTGCTTTGCAAATCCACATGGCTACGGTTCTCCAGCCCCACAACAGCTCCTTCCACTCAACTGGAGAAGTACAGGTTGGTACTGAGAGAGGTGCAGATGCAAAGGAGCAACGGGAGCGAAGCTGCTCAAATACAGCTGCCCTTGATCATCTGGAGGSCAGGTCTGCTGCCGCTCTTCCTGCTGATCAACACATTGAGAAATCCCACGGAAATCAGAAAATTTGTGTGCACAAATTAAAGCTGGTGGGAAAAACGCCCTGCTAGGGTATGTCAGCAATCCTCGGAGATCAGACCGTGTTCCCGGATGCACCAAGGCTTCCTGTTCTGCTGCCGGAGAGGGAACAGAGCGCCAGGTAAGAGGGTGTCCGGCCTGGCACAACCACCTCCAAAGGAAGACAGGGCATGAGGAACTCGGCACTTGAAAGCCCGAGTGCAGCAGAACTACAGATCACTTGCTTCCGACCAGCCTTAATCACCTGTGCTGGACTCACCTGCTTCTTGCAGGAAAATAACGGGTTTTAGAGCCAAGCAAACAAAAGCCCACCTTCGAGAATCCTAAGCTCTTTMAAGCAGTGCCATAGACATTTTAATTTTAGTTGTCCAACTCCGTGCTATACAAGACAATTTCAGCACCATGGCAGAACACTGAAATACTTCAAGAATAGCTTTCACGTTTGAGATTTATCAGGAACAAGGCTTAGAATAAAAGGTTTGGCTTTTTTTCTCCTCTTCCAGTTGTATTCAGGAAAATCCTTCTCTTTAGCCTTGAGAAGGGTATTTTCTTCCCTTTCTGCATATAGAGAACAGCTCCAAAGGAAGCTTTTGGAAATATATAAAGGTACCCCACGTGCTTTGGAGCTTGCCTGTTCTCTACCTGCACAGAGCCACGTGTTGCCAGTGGCACAGCCTGAAACGTGGACCTTTAATTCTCAGCTCAGTGCAACACCCCACCACGCCACCAGAATCCAAGCGAGGTGTGTGCCCTGAGTCATTTATACAGAGACACAAACAAGTAGCCAGTCTCAGGGGCTGAAGGAAACCGAATTCCAGGAGAAAAAGGGCTTGCAGCTTCCCACCTGCTGCTCCATGAAGAGCAGAGGAGGGTTTCGTTATCACAGGCAGACTAACCAGCTCCAGCTCTACCCTACGCCCGGGATTTACGCACTGCCCCAGAGCACTTATAGATTTAAGGGCACTTGGGCTCATCGCTCGGGAGCCACCACTCGGACCTGCTGCGGATTTACCCGTGTCAGAGCGACCCCAAGGCCCCCGGAGCAGGGTGACAGGGCGCCCTGGAGGCAAACCCCACTACCAACACCAAGAGGAGATGCTCCGGGGCAAACAGTGAAGCTTGAAGCTCTCTCCCATGCGCGAGGAGACGTCATGTGAGGGCACCACGGAGGCATCGGCGAGGGGAGGCACAGCTGCAGAGGTGCTGCTCTGGCCCCTGCGCGCGCACGGGGGCTTCCCGAGGAAGCCTTTTGCCAGAGAAGCATCCGTCAGACTGGCTATTTGCTTCTGTCCTTTGGTAAAACTCTCAGCATACTGGATGAAAGGCCAGGGATCATTTTTTTTCACTCGGAAAACAGAAACAAAACAGGCATTCTCAGACAACTTGCACACCGGCTTCCTCCGTAACAAACAAACAGAAAATAAAGGAACCGTTTGCCAAACAAACCCTTCCATGAGTCCAGCCTTCCTCCCTCGGCAAAACACATTCCACCTACAAACACATCCCAGGCCTTTGCTACAAACAGCCGCTCACTTTCTGTATGAGCGGGAGCAACGTGTTCCATTCACAACAGAATTGCAATCGCTTATCGATTCAAAGGCCAAAACTTGTTTGCACTGCTGGACTTTCCACCGGTATTCCAAGGATTTCAAATGTTTTCCCAATGAGAATCTGGAAATATGAGCGGCTGTAAACAGCAAAGACAGAGGTGAAATACTGGGGTTTAAAGGGGGTTTCTATCTAGAGAGGGTTAATAACGCTGCTTTCGTTTCTCCTCGTTTTGGTTAAACAAACATTCTCTTACCATTTGTCTGGTTTGTCCGTGGTTAGGCAGACCTAACAAACAGGAAAGAGAATAGAGCTGGTAAGACCATTGCTTTGCCAAGACAGAAAAAAAAAAGTACAAAAATCAGAACACACGCAGCTACGTTTGCAACTGGGTTGCTTTGCTGAGACAGAAGTTTTCTACAAAGCTAAGTTCTTCCCTCCTCGAAGAGTAACTACGAAAATAGCTTCTGTGACAACATATTTTGAAGAGGAGGGCCTGCAAATTGAAAAAAAAAACTCCATTCGCTCATTCTTTGCTCCATTCATTCATATATTCCTTCAAAGTATAAACTTGAAAAATACACTTCCCTCTGTATCTAAGATTTTCCTCAATTGCTTGAAAAAAATGGKTTTTTTAGAAGTTTGTTTTGAAGAACTTACTGAAATCAAGAAGAGGAGGAAAGCAGAATCACGCTGTGAACACAGAAGACGCACCCCCGTTTCCCCTCACCCCTGCTGATGCTGCTGCCCACGAGGAGGCAGCGGCGATGCCAGGGCCAGGCCTGGCACGAGGCTCTCGTCCGCCCGCGCCAGCGCCTGCTGCTGCTCCCCGCGGCCAGAACCCCCGTTCCAGGCGCCCACGCAGTGCCCACCAGAGCAGCAGCAAGTGCACTGGGGCATCTTATACACACGAGACTTCAGAGGACACACACACGTCTTGGTTTTCCAGGATATAAGCTCCTAGAAATATCTCTCCTCCAAACCCAGGTGCCGAACCACCTTTCGGCCCTTTCTGGCCCAGGCTGAGTTCAGCACAGCCGAGCAAACAGGTCGCCGGGCGCCAGGAATCGCTGTCCCTGCCTGCAGAAGTGGCTGCCGCTCTTCATCCCGCTTCCACATTCCCAAACTCCATCTCTCAGCATCTGCACGGGCAGATTCCCACCGTGCGGCCAGCTGGGCTGCGCCGAGAGGGCAAAGCTCTCCACGAGCCCGGCCCAAAGTGACTTTCACCCTCGTGGCCGCGCTCCAGCACGTCCCGTGCAACCCTCCTCGGCAGGAAGGGACAATGGGCGACGACCTGTGAGCACCCAGCAGCACGATGCCACATGAAAACCACCGGTATAAACCTTATTTTCCATTTTGGGAGGGAGATGGTTGTTAGCTACTTCAAATAGACACAATTTCACTCTTTTTTTTTTTTTTTTTTTTTTTTTTTTTCAGTGTTTTGGTGCCTAGGCATCCACTCAGACGAAGGAAGAGCTGCCAAAAGCTTTGCCTCAAATCTGCAGAACGGAACAGATGCACAAGGCAGGGCAACCACCCCGGGCGCTGACGAAGGCAGTGGAAGCTCCGCGTAATTCTTCCTTTCTCCATAGGAGCAGCAGTGACATTCCCAGGCCAGCTGCAAACAGCCGTTCGGGAGGGATGGCCAGAGAGCTCMGCAGCGCTCGGAGCAGCCCAGGCAGCAGGGCGCAACCTCAGCCTGCGGGCTCCAAGGGCCGAGCYCCAGCACTTTTCTTCCCCCTTCCAGACCAGGGCCATAACATTTTCCTCATTCACAGGAGCTCTCGGAAACGTAAATCAAGTGGTGCTGGTTCCTGGGGAGAARCCAGCTGTTTTATTTTAATCACACTCAGGATTAGCTCTTTTCTTACACTAAGAGCGCGCCTGATGCCAGGCAAGCCAAGCCTAGGGGAGCAGCTGATATGTGGCTGCTGCTGCACCAGATTATTGCTGCGCCGGAGCAGGCAGCCCTGGTCCTGTGTGCCAGGATTAATCCCAGATCTTCCATGCTGAGAAGGCTTGTTGGGCACATTGCACCAAAAACCTGTTATTTCTAGGATAAAGCCACCCAGGTCAGTTTTAGCTGCAATAAAATAGGGCACAAAAAGTCAGCGTTTTCMACACAGTTCTTATCCTTGCCAATAAGGTATTGATTAGCAAATTAATCCTTAAATGCCTGAGAGTTTTCCYTTAGTCACGCTTTGATAACTGGAGTATCAGAGTAAATACAGAAAAGGACACTTGAAAGATACATCYACTTTGCAGCAAGAATCATGGCACCGAATTACAACTGAAGCAGTGTTATTAAATGGACACTTTTTCACCAGCAGGAGCTACCTAGGAGAAGCAGAGGGGCAGCATGACCATCCATAACCCATTCCAGACTCGCTGCCAAGCCCTTGGGATGCATCCATTCTGCAAGCGAGGGACTGGGCCCGAAAGTGCAGATATTCTTTCCAATGATGTCCCAGGTCCAACTGTTTGAAAAGGGCTGTGTTTCCATGCCTGAGCAAACCCTTAAAACCACAAGGAGGAACAGTCTCCACTGACTCCAACCAGATTTTCCTCATCTTTTGCAGCCAAGAAATTGAAATATTTTCTGCAAATTGAGGATTAGAGTCAGGATAGAAAAAAAACAAGGTCCTAGAACATCTGCTACCTTTCAGTCCCTCCTGCCAAAATTTCCCCTACACATTTAAATAAAGAGGACGTTCCAGATGATAAAAGGAAGACAAGGCAAATCAAATGTACATGTGACGATAAGTTTGGATCTCCTTCCCCACAGAGGATTCTCCCTTCTCACTGAAACAGCAATAAAACAACTCATCACATCAGAGATGCTATGTGAGACCCTCCCAACTTGCCTTGACTTGACCAAGACCCCAGGACTTGCTCAAGCCTAAGCACAACCAYGCATGAGATCTTAGCTCATGGGAGGTCACTGGGGCTTAATGGCCCTCAGGAATATCCTTTCACCTGAAGAAACCTGTCGTGGGAGCCCATCACTAACACCAAGTGCCAGGCTGTTGCTGCAGTTATTTTGCAGGGGTGTTTAGTATTCTTAGGACGGGGCAGGGGGAGAACTGGGCAGCTTCCCCACTAACCAGCCTGTTTCGTTGCAGGTAACGGTGTCCTGCCACCTGGACGCAGCCCTCTCAGATGTATCTGAAAAGCGAGGGCCAGCTCCCAGGTACCACCCAACACTCCCACGGCGCGAGAGCAGCCTCCCTCGTCCACACGCAGCCGCCACGGCCAGGGCAGGAGAGCCCAAGCGGGCAGCCCCATCCCAGCCAAGGAGCCCGGAGCGCGGGCAGGGCTGCGGAGGCGACTCCAGCGCGCAGCCAGAGGCTGCACAGGCAGCACCAGGCACTGCCACTGCCCTCCCTGGGCACCGAGCACACCGACGGCCTCGYGAGCCTCGGCACCCACAGCACGGGTCGCAGTTTGGCACGAGAAGGCCGGCCAGAGCTGGCCCCAGCACCAAGGAGGAGCAGCCGCTCAGCCCCCAGCCTCCGAGCGTATCCTGGAGCTGTCTGATTTAGCCCAACCGCTGACATATCCCCTGTGCACAAAAACACAGCTCCTTCATCTCATATGAATGTAATTCATCTTATTTATCAGTCAGGACAACAAGCAGTTAGCCACAAAGGCTGTTTTGCTTTTACTTCTCTTTGCCAAAGAGAAGTACATTGCAGAACACGCAGTACTCAGCAACATTCATGAGCACATCTTCAATCGTGACAAGCAAAATCCAGCAAATACTCTCACAAGCAGGTTTTTTATATTAGCAGCCCTAAACCACATGGCTATGATTTCAAAAGCCACACACTCCTTATCTACATTTCCCCTTTCCAAAAGAAATCCTCCTTGTGGGAGTCCACCTTTCCCAGCCCTAACAACAGYATCAACAGCACCGCATTCTGAGCCAGCTCGAGAAAAACCAACACATGCACGGACAAGCCCTGATGAACCAGGATTTCATCTCCAACTACTGGATCACTTCAAGTCAGCGGTGGGTGTTGACAGATACACACACACATAGACACTTTGTGCAAGCTTGYAGGAAGCCTTTAGTACCTCTCTCCTCCTTAAGACTGCCAGAGGGTGTTAGAGCTGCAAGCAGGCTGAGCATCCACCTTCTGGCAGCCACGGAGCAGAGCACAAACTGTCACGAATGCAAGGGCAATGGGCAGAGCAGAGCACCAACTGCGCCAAACCCCACCCAGCAGGTTCTTAAATGGTGTTGCACGTAAAGACAATGTTAAAATTGCAATTTACTTACCTAAGTAAGTTCCTACCAAGATTGGCAAAGGAAAAGGAAAAAATAATAAGTTTTTTTTTTTTTAAGAAAAAGAAAAAAAGAAAACAGGAAAGGTTAACATAGTTCAGAATACAGTAGCCCGGCCTCATGCAACATACACAGAAACACAGACTGTTTTGGTTGCAATGAAACACAGGGTGATTACATTTCTGTTGGATGAAGAAACAACATTAAACAAACAGTAACTCTCCAAATATGAGATTCCACTGAGAAGAGTTTGCAATCTGTACGAGCAAGCAGTGGTTCTTTACCACCTCCTTCCAATAACTCTCCCACATTCGCTTTGTTGGATCTGGACAGCAGCCCCTGAACTGCTCAGTCTACCCGATAACATCCCTTGGCTTTGCAAGGCCTCCCAGATGAGGGGAGCAAAGCAGGGCCGTGTGCCCAGAGAGCTTCAATTCAATTCAATTCAATCAACCCATGCTCATGCTTGAAACACCCAACTGCAACGAGTCAAGAAYGCAGTGGCTGCCCTAGGTCTACATGTCCAGCCTGAAGAATTACCATCCACCTCAGGGTACAGTCCATCACCTCTGCTCACCTTCATCCACAGACCCCATACCTCAACTCCCTGGTTAATCTGTTGCTCTGAACTACAGGAGCAGGACATGAGCAGATCACGTGCAGGGCTTGGCCCTGGGCACGTCCCACCTACCTATGTGCATCATGTGTCAAGGCCATTTATGCTCCAGAATTTGGGATGTGCATTTTCAAGAAACGATCTCCCCTTCGGCATGTAATCCCGCACAAGGAAGCTGTGGGACTGCAGTACTCGTGTTAAGAGCACAYCTAGGAATGAGTGTGGGCATGTGCACAGGCTGCCACCGAGGCTTTCTCCCTCSTTATGTCACCACACAGCCCTGGTGGAGACCAATCCTCAGAGCAACTTTGCTTTGGGCACAGCAGCCTTTCAAAAATCTGGTCTATGAAAATCTGCCRTTGCTGTGGAGTCGTCTTCTACACAAACCCAATAATTAAACACTTTTAAAGAAATAGAATAGCAAATGAAGCTTGGTGGGAAAACCTAAATGTACAGATTTAAACTAAGAAGAGTTTCGGAGGGAAAAAGCTTTCAAGAGAGGTGTGCAATACTTCAAATCTAACAAAAACATTTTGCATAGCTGATTTCTAAGTGACATTGATCATCTGCAGCAGCAATAAAGCTATTTTTTCTCTATTTTTAAAGAGAGTTTAAGCAGCACAGGGAATCCACACACTTCTTTCCCTCCCTGCTCCTCTCTTTTTGTCACAAAACCAGGAGTTCCCCCCCTGCTCAGCTGCCCCAGCCAGCCAGGCACTCCCTGCAGCAGCTCTCAGCTCTTCCACGCACACAGGGCTGCATCTGCCTGCCCACTCTGCRCTGGATATTTCACTTCATCCCATGCCAGTAAAATCGAACAGAGGCTCTTTTCTTCCAGTACCTAAGGGACGAGAACTGATAAGCAATCATGCTGCTTGAGAAGCTTGCCCTAAAACAGGATGACGCRATGTTCTACGCGGTGTTGGCTTTATTTCTCACCAAAGGGAACCCGAGTTCCTCTGGGCTTCACAGCACTGCTTTGCTGTGCCTTGACCTGGGCCTGAAAGCAGATGGAGCACACGCCGATCTTCCCATCTGGGGTCAGCTCGTRAGCATGGGAAAGGCAGTGCTGCAGGCTGCCTTTGCTGGATTGTTTTTAAAGGAAAGAAAACACTAACAAAGTAAAAAAACACACCACTAAAAACCTGTCTCCCCATTTCAAGCACTCCTCTGTATGGCTTTTTTATAGACTTGGATAAATAATACTTTTTTATCCATTTACTTTTATCCAATAAGCTTCCCAATGCTCTGCCACCTGCCCGACGCACATGGAGCTCTCCCACCTTGCAGGCTCCTTCCCAAGGCCCTGTCTCCCTTCACAGCCTGTGCAACACGGCTGCACGGGGGGCTCTGCACAGCAGCAGGCTGCACGAGGCTGGCACCTCTGGCCACGTGCAGCCTGCTGCCACTGCATGGGCACAGGGCCCCTCCAAAGAGCAAGGGGAAGGTGCTGGAGGACCACTGTCCACTAACTGAGCTCACTGGCTTGCTCAGTATATGCTCACCTTGTTGTTGCACGTCTCTCCTCAGGTTTTGTAGGCTTTTTGGGTGAAAGGATGTCCCTGCTGGTCACCCTTGCAGCTTTTATGCCCTCCTGAGCTGCCAGCTGTTCTCATTACCTCTAAAAAGACTGGAAAATCTCAGGCTCACTGGCCACTGCCTCCTACAGCAGCCCATTCAGGGATCTCTTTTGATTAGTTGTTCTCAATTTTATGTTTTGCCATTGCTTCAGAATCAGATGTGCTCCTGCTCTTCCAKATCACTTGATCCTGCCCAGACACCCTTTTACAAGTTCCTCTCACACACAGGAATCCCAGGCCTGATACAAACACAGAGAAGSTATCAACCACCTGATCCATCACCCTGCATCTACTGATGTTGCTGATCCAACCAGATACAACCAGTTCTAGAGAAAACAGGTCCAAATCATGTCCTAAAAGCATCCCCTTTTGGTTTAACTCATTCCCAGATGGACAAACTTCCACTGGATGGTTATCCTTGACCCTAGGAAAGCAGCCAGTGCTACTGCTGATAAAGGAAGAATCAAAATCAGTTAATGCAACCGAGAATCAAAATCAATTAATGTAATAGGTCTAGGAAATCAGGAGAGAGCTTGGAATGAAGTCTGGCTTCTTATGTAGCCAATGCTGAAGGGTTTCCCTGTAGTCCCACCTCAACAGCTGTCTTGATCAAGAGTTTCCACTTTCCCACTGATCTCCTGATAATTCAATTTAATGCCACGCCAGGCTGATGTAGCTTTAATGCCTCCAGGTCCAGGAGCTCATTCATATTTCCTCAGGAGGAGGTGAGGAACACTGACCCAGCACACATTACATGAGATCATCATTCCATTTTGCTTCACAAATTCCCCGCAGTGGCTGCAAGGTATTTCAACAGTTAATTAACCTCATTCAAAAATGTGCAGCTTTTTTCTAGTCTAAGTTTTTCTCCTGCACCTTCTGGCCACGACTGCTTATTATTCCACTCCTGGCTGGGCTAAAAAGCCCTTTATTATCACACTGCTGCTGCTCCTGTCAGTAGTGACAAACATCTCCAATTTCCTCTTTGATATAAACCATTTTCCATTATAAGGTGTGCTTTCCAGTCCCTTCCCCATTTTCATAGCTCTTCTGTGAAACCTCCCTAATTTTCCAACATATTACTTGGAGCATGTTCCAGCACCGCTTTATTTTAGCCTTAAGTCTGCTGCTGGGAAAAGCCTTCCTTTTATTCCAGCTACTCATTCACGCTCTCTTTCTTTCCGCCAATTTTTATAGTGCATCTGATGACCCTGAAAAACAAATTCAATCAGATGAAAGCTAACGTGGTGCAAGAGAGAACAAAGTCCAACAGTGCTCCCTCCCTCCCTCCACCCACCCCCAGGAATCTGCACAAAATGAGTATCACATAGACCCCACGTGGGATAACTGCGTGGACAAAAGTAACCAGGGTCCAGAACATAAAACATCCTCTCCGCTGAGTATTGTCAGGCAGGCTCCAGAACATTAATGAAAAGGAAAAAAAAAAAAAAAAAGAGGGGAAAAAAAAGGACTAGACTAATAAATATTTAACAGCCCGCTGCATTTACAGCTTCTGAGACTCCATGTACTTTTAACGTTCCAAAACCAGTAACCTGCAGGAAATTTTCCATGCTGGTCCGAAGCTGAGGAGTTAGGAAGGTCACTGCATGCCTAACGAGGCCTTCAAGAAGATTTAAACAAGAGGTAATTACAAACAAAAATGCAGAAGAGAATATGGCACCTTTTGTGTGCTGGGGACTGGGGAGGGGAGATGGAAWGAAATACGTTTTCCTATTCTTAGGACTCAAGTGTAAGTCTAAACTCACCGTGTCTGGCCGGACAAATCATATTCAGAGCCTGACAAAAATTCATCTCTCTGGGGTTACACAAACAGATGATTCAGAAAAAGAAGTGTTTGAGAGCTACAGCAGTGAGAGAGAAAAGCAAACCAAATTCCAAAGCAAAATTCGAAAGGAATCCCAAGTGCAGCAGTGTCCAACCTTTCCATAGTTAGTTTCGCTAGCTCAGGCTGCAGCAACAGCCTTTCCTCTTTCTTCCTGGCCTTTCACCACCAAGATTGCCCTTTTCCTTTGTCTTCCCTCTGYTCCCATTACTCCCTCTCTCCACAGAAAGTTCAAGCTGACCACCCCACACGTGCACTCAGCCCAGCAGCTCTGCTTTCTCCATCCCCTCCACCCTTAGGTATTATTTTGGCAAGACTAATCATTCCATTTACAAACTGTATTTCCACTCCATCCAAGGAAATTCAAGGCATTTATTTCATGAATTCACTTTTCTGAGGGCTGAGTTTAATTCCTAACTACCAAGGACTGGAAAAATCTCAGATGAAACCCTTCCAACAGCGGTGCCTGAAAATTTTTGCAATACTGGAGAGCCTAATACCCACCAAGGYGGGTAGTGTGAAGTTTAAATGCCTTAGAGAGCTGGACACCAAGGTCTGCGTAAAAACAGGGATCGACATCCTCTAAACTAATTGAAAACACCTGTAAGTAAACACATTGCTGAAGACTATTTCACTGCAGGTGGATAAAGAGCCTCTCATGGGGACCTGGATTTGTGCAGAGAGAATTTGAGTCCTGCTCTGCCACAGCAGAGCATTTCTGACATGAGCTTCCCTTCTCAGTGCAAAGTGCAGCGCAAGGGTCCAACCCTGCTGGGACACCACTAGGATACAGTAGCAAAGGGAAAAAAAATCCTTCCTAGTAGTATGTACAGTAGCTCTGTATATGCACCTGTGTTTGTAAAGAAGAATTCGATTTTCTTGGGCGAATTTCACTCCCACTCATCTTTCTCCTGTAATTTTAGGACTGGTACAATCCCCAACCAGTCACTTTGGATATATGGGTTCATTTCATCCCTTTTACTCTGCTCTAACTCGCCTCCTCCTCCTCCCTTTTCCCACCAGCAGCCCCCTGAGTTGCTAAGTCTGTGAGACTCCATCCACCATGGCTTTCCTCACACCCAGCACATCACGATCCAGGTTCTTTGAACCCTGTTCCWCCAAAAACTCACAGGAATAACCAATGCCCAAGGAGGCAAATGCGTTTGACACTGAAGCACGTGGAGCTACCAGCAGGTACCAGAACCAGATAACGCTCCAAGCATTTCCGTGGCTGGTTAAGAGCAGACTGGAGATAAGCAGCAGGCAACCAGGGAGAGCCTGGCCCTGCACAGCTTCACATACACTGCAGAAAACTGCATTTCCTGAGCAGCCTCTGGTTATTTTTTCCCCCAAATAAGAAAAGTTAAAAGGTGACATGAAAAACCCAGCAGCACAATATCCAAGTATTTATTGCCAGGAGAGCAAGAGCTGTCCTCACCTTTACTGCACGCTCTGCACGCGTGTGTATATGCATGCATGTCAACAGAGCTAGAGCCAGCCACTGCCTCAGCTGTTAACACAAAGCTGGACACACCAGGGCATGCAGCGTGTGCCATTTCATGTTAATACATAAACCTAAGTTAYTGCCTCTCATATTGACATTTTTATATGCTAGCTATATATGCTACCTATACAAACGGGCTGTTCTGCTGCATTTGGCAAAGCAACATCGCATGCATGTCTGAGGGATACTGGTTTTCTGCATCGTCCCAAATCAAAATTGCCCAGGACTACTCTTTGGACAAAATTTTTTGTTACCTATGGAAGTTTAAAGCTACTGATTCCTACTGCGGGTAGAAGAAGTGCAGATAGTCCCAGATTTTAAGATCTGACCCGACAGAAAATACAGAGGCTTGAACCTGAGACTTGACCTGAATATTGTCTCCTAATTCTTTTGGTCAAATTTTGTAAATTTATATTTGTTCAGGACATAGAAGACTCTGTTACTCTGCTTTTTCTTTTTTCTTTTTTTTTGTTTGTTTGTTTTTGCATTTCTTTTTTAAGTTAAGCAGTGAAACAACATCTAGGTTCAAACCCACCATCTCAGGTTTCAGTAGCTTTGCAAAACCGMTAGAAAACTGCTGCGTCAACATGAGAATTTAGCAATCAACACCCAATTCTCCCTTCTTTGCAGTAAGGCCCGACGTGTCCGCACATGAAAAGCCTGGAAGGTGATCAGCATAACCACAGGTGGAATGGGTGCCCAAAGAACACGCAGACATCAACACAGAATGAGCACACAGAGTCATTAGCCACAAAGCACAGACAAGCCAGCAGATGAAACTAGGGGAAAAAAAATAAAATAAAATAATCACTCTCCTAGCATAAGCTGAGCACAGCTTCAAGGTCTTACCCCTGCTAGGCATCAACAGGCGCTTCTTCATGTTGCCTGACAGAGCACAAGTGAACAGAAAAGAGAAAAACATCACATCAGCAGCCTGAACAGCAGCAGTTTTAAAAAGTTCTTAATGTTACAACACAAACAGTATCAAACGTTCATAACTGTATCCCAGACAAGCCACGTGTAGTTAAAGCTAAAGGTGAAAAAAATAAATAAAATGAGGAAGATTCTGTTCAGCTGTATCAAAAAAAAATCACTGGTTTAACTCCACTATGACAGCATAAAGGTGCAAGAATAAGACACAGCAGGACAGAATGTGGTTTTCCTCCAAGGAAGTCTGTAGAGGAATTTAGCTCGTGTTCACTCCTGGGAGGACAGAGATTGCCTCTCCCTCCCCACCCACACTCACTGTTTCAAGTCAAGAACTTTCAAACAACCTCCTATACTAAAAAAACACAGGAAAGCCTATATAGACAATATACATTTTGCAGAAAAAAATATATACCATCCATTCCATTGTGTTGTTCGTAACTTCTTTTTCCCAGGATAGTCGGGGACCCATTATTAATGACAGGTGTAAACTTAGCAGGCGTCAGGTTGTTGAGTGAACTGGACAAACTCTTTGCAGGATCTGGTTTCGGAGGACATGGATGAGACTCTGTTGAGAAAGAACAGCATTTTGTCAGTGAATGGACTGGAATTGTAAGTCTGAAAACAACCTGCACGCTTTCCAAGTGATCAAATATGCTTCACCTCTCCTTAAGTGTAAACTATTTTTGAACTCTCGATTCTGAATTTGACCCTATTTTTGACTGAATGCTGCTACTTATATAAAGGTATATATATTGAGGACTTCAACATATTGTTTTAAACAACATCATAACAACATATCTTTGTTCTAAAAGAAGAGTTAAGAGGAAAATAAATACTTAGTTTCCAGATTTCTGTTCTACGATGATTTGGGTAATTTCTGGGCTTCTTGGGGTATCTCATTAGTAACACAAAGTTTCAAGTAAAACACTCAACAGAGAAGCAGCAAGTAATATTTATTATACACTGAATCTTAAAATATTTCATCAAAGTAAGTGTTCAGACAAACATAAGATCRACTCCAGTGTTTCTTATCAAGGCAAAAAGGTAATGGATTCCCTTGCTGGAGGGAACAAGGGAATTCCAACTCCTTAATTTTCTCTAGCAAGATCCACAATAACATTTAATAATATATAAAAATATATATATATTTTTAATCCAACATGAGCATCTAAATCCAAAACAAAAATGGAAAAGAAGAAAGAAAGGTCAGCAGACTCGGTGAGTAGGTTTTCTGCTTGGTTTGTTCGTTTTCAATACCTAAATAGCGGAGCACTGCTTCCAAAGGCTTTCGAACCACTTGCTTTAATAGCAACGGATTTTCCGATGCCTCCGGTAAACGTGCTGTGCCTGTAAAACAAAAATAACAGAGTTAGAAGGTAAAGACATGGAGGTAAATGACTCGATTATCTCTTCTGAAAGAGCTTTCCTATCAGAAGGAGTATTTACAGATTGCAAGCATGTCTTGGCAATATGGCACAAATGCAGCAGAAGGGTGTTTTAGCCAACAAGCAATCCTTTAAAACAAACAACTTGGGCATTTTGAGTGTGATTTGAAAATAACAGGCTGTAGCCTGGGCTCAGCTAGCGCACTCTGCAAGCCTCCCTAGTTATTGTTGGCCCAGCAGTTCTGAGAAAGAGGGTGTTCACAGAAGGTAGAGCTCAAGCTTCATAGGAAAGGAATCTCGGACACGTCTTTTCCTTGGCTTTGGGAGCAGGAGCCCAGCTGCCCCAGCACTCACACTCTGCTTTGATTGCCGCGCTGTTAATTGGCAGATAGGGGTGTCTTGCGGCGTGCCAAGGGCGCAGGATATCTCGACATAAACGTCTGGCAATTCTCGTCAGTTTGGTTGTATGGAGATAAAAAGCTTGTCGGGTCTTCATAGCAAACTTGGGGCTCCCACTGTTTCGCACTGGCACTCCGTGAGGACTCTGTTTAGAGAAGGAAAGAAAAATAAAGGCAATTTCTAACAAAAATAATTGTCGAAAAGCAACTTTCTGGAACAGAGATAACTTCACATAAAATCATTTTCAACTGCCGGTTCTCAGGTATAAAAACACTAACAGTATCACAGATCAAAATATTTTTGGGTACAGGTCTTCCCTGTTCCCCAAATCTTGCCCATGAGCATTTGGCTTTTCTTTCAAAATAATCTTGCAGGACTGAAGTTCCTATTAAATCTTACTTTGAGCTCAATGAACAACGCATTTATAGAGCTGACAACTAATCGTGGCACATAGTGAAGAATACTGAAAGCCCTTTATCTACCAGGAAAAGCAAAAACAGTATCTTTTTCAGGAAAAGGAGCTAGACTAGACAGTGAAGTCATATTTTGGATCTCAAAACAGAGCTGTTGGTGGGAAATAGGAGGAAATTTCAGTTTAGGGAGAACAAGGTTTCCCCTTCTCAGGCCACATAACATAATTTTCAAGCAACAAATAAGAGTTATAAGGCTGATAAAAGCTGGTGGTTAACTCCACAATTAAGTAGCTCCAGTGGGCCAAGAGAAGCCTGGAAAGAAAGAGAGAGAGCAAGGATTGGGACTGAGGAGAGTAGGAATTTAAGAGTAAAATTCAGTGGGCTCTATCCAGCACACGTAAGGCAGCTGCGCTTTCCAAGCAGCCCAACAGATGATGCTCCAAGACTGGGCTTCAACATCCAGAAGAATTGAGGGAGTTTGCTTAATTTAAGTGGGCGAATGAGGAGGGGAAGGGGAGGAAATCATACAATGCTTATTGAAGACCTATACAAAAGGGAGGGATTAATTTAAAAAATAGATAAGGTAGAGAAACAAGATAAGGGATTTCTCAAAGCTGCTATCTATTTGAGATACCTAATTTTGAATGTACTCTGGGGATGGGAACAGCTTGCAGGAAATAATGATTTTTTTTTTTTTTTAAATAGAAAGAAAATCAGTCGTCTCCCTACAGCCAAGACTGCAGAATCACCACGAACAGAAACACTGACTGTTTTTCCAGCTTTTCCCATCTTTGTTTAATTATCCCAAGTATGTGAAGGATAGTTTGCTAAAGAGTATTTTTTCTCTCCCCTGGGCAGCGCTGGGCCAGAGATGATATAGAGCCCAAGCAAAGGTGTCGACTCCTGCAGGTCTAAATCCATACCTGCTCATGAAATTTCAAACCATGGACAACAATGAGGGTTGAAGTCATTCCTTTTGTTTTGTTAAATTTTTAAGAATAGCGAAGAATTAATAATATATGACAGTGCTCCTAAGCACCTAAGCTCCCAGACAAGAGTACTGAGCTGCCTGCTTGCCTGATACCTACCAAATTATTGCGGTTTGGTCCTGGTCTCTCTCCATCTAACCGTGTTGGCATTTTCAAGCCACCGTATTTCTTCCAGTAGGTCCAACAGGATGCACAGAGGCGACACTGCATGTTAGGGGGACCCCAAGAATACCACTGGTAAGACTGTGTGGCTAGAGATAACAAAGGTGAAAATTATATATATCCTTAAGCAGGATCACTTCGCAGAGCTTATTCTCTTTAGAGCTATCACAAAAAGAAAACCCCCACAAAGACAGTGCAAAGCTCAAACAGACTTTAAAAACTCGATGACGACCTCCCTTGTCCTCACCAGTGTAAAATGTGTTTGCAATTTCAGCAAAATTAGATACATATATAAAAACATTTTAAAATATGAACAGTAGAAAACAAGCACTAGGATGCAAAAAATTGTTGCCAATGAAACTAAAAGCTTTCATTTTGCAAAACTGATAGACACAATTTATCCACAGCATGGAGGGGATTCTCTTCAGAAACTCCCTACACATTAATTTTACATCTAAGGAAAGCAAAATAAATTTTAGACTTGACTCCTCACACAATCCCACATACCATTGTGTCAAAATGCTCTCCATTAAGGAAGAGGACGAGCATTAGAACTCAGCATACTAATGAGACACAGCACATCAAATACAAACAGATATTTTACAAGAGCTGTGGAAAAAAATCCCGCCAAGTTCACACCTCAGTCATTTTAGACGTTTCATCAATAGCCAGTGGCAATTATGCAGAATCTTTCCTAGTTCCCCCACCCCCTGCCCGAGTACTTTGCAATTATATTTACCATCATAACATCAACAACCCCACAAAGCTTTACTTAAACGCTGCTATATGAAATTGTGTTCCCACCCCAAAAAGCCTTTTCTCCCACCCTCCCACCACGAGAAAGCGTTGACTTTGCTGCCTGCAGCGCAGTCCTTGCCCTGGCTATGCACAACGCTGTATTGGCAGGTCACTTACTATAACAGCTCTCACAGGCCCGTCCTGCTCCCGCGTTCTGTGCCTGCACTCCAGTACCATTTACCACTCCCGGCTTGACATTATTTACATTGATCTGGTTGGGGTTTGGCTTGTTACTTAAAAAAAAAAAAACAAAGCAAAAAGGAGGATAAACGTTAATTCAGGCATGCTATTTCCTACGTGACTTAAAATATATTTATTTTACACAGTGTAGAGGTTGAAAGGGAATATTTAAATTTCTTCCATCCTATGGCTTCCCAAACTAGAGGCTGTACTTACCAGGAATCTGATTTATGTGAGCACACTTTCTGATGTCCGTATTATATTAGATGCCATTTTCAGGAATCCAAAAGCACTCAGAAATCAATAACTTTTGATTGAAAGGCTCAAAGCTTTGGGTTTGAGCTCAAACTCAACCATGACTCAACTCAATCTGAGTCAGGTTTGAGCTCAAACTCAACCTGACTCAACTCAACCCATGAGTTGGGTCACCTCATCCCACCCAGCTCCCTAGCCAAAGGTCTGCAAGGGGGACGACACTTTTCAACCGTCTCTCCCAAGTTCTCGGGAAGAGGGAAGGAGAAGGAAGGGAGAAAAGCAAACAGATGACTTGCAAGGCACCCAGAAAAACAAAAGTAATTAATGAATATGAGCCTTCTGACAAGACTTTAAATCATGATCTGCAACTCTATGAAAAACACTTAGATTTTTGCCAATTGGACAAAGTCTGAAGGTCTAACATCTGCAGAGAAGGAAATCCATCACCCGCTGTCATTGGTACCCTCTGCTGTAATAATATTTGAACCACCTCAGCTCTTCCCTATACTCTTATTAAAATGTTGACTCACAAAGAAAGCTACAACAAGAGCTGAGATGAGAAGGACAAACAAATTCCTGGCAGGGAAAGAGCAGAGTGGAAGAGTATAAGACCTCTGCAAAGAAAATTCCAGGTCTGAGGGGGAGAAGTGGGACAGACAAAAGAAACACAGCATGGGAGAGAACTGCGGGCACAGAGAAGCACTGCTGAAGGGACAGGGCTTCTGGGGACAGAGGAAGATGGGGCAAGTCTGCACAAGAAATTTGAGATGAAAATGCACAAGAAAATAGTTTTTTAATAAAAAACTCCAGGTTGCTGTTAGAAGACCCTCTTTCTCTTCATTTGAAGACATTTGATCAGACATGGAGATAAAGGGCTTGGTAAAGCACCATTTTTATAGAGACAAAGCAGATTCTGCTAAAAATGGCCTAAAAAGACCACACACACACACAAGTAGATGACAGTATTTGCTCATTCCAAGAACAATTTCAGACAGCATTCAGATGTCGCTCCTCCCTGTAAAGCTGTGAAAGATAAAAAAAAAAAAAAAAAAATGTGGAAGAGACATCTTGGACAGTTTAGTGGTTTGTGAGTGTAATAAAATGAGTTTGCTCCTTCAGTACACTGAGCAGACCCCCAAAAAGCAGAGCAAAGAGCAGGGGCACTTAGATCAGCGAGCCTGATTAGGTGTTCTCATTCTGCTTATTAACCTGCCTGGCTCCTCCAGGGACTAGAGCGTGTCAGGGTTACTGGTGGGACGGTGTGAGGGGCTGATGCCCCGGAAGGCACGAGGTGCGCAGGCACAAGACCGGGAAAGCCCAAGCGGGCGCCTTCCCGCTGGCTTCCTCCCACCCAGCACTTCCTTCTCGGGATGTCGCTGAGCAGCTCGAGGAAGACAATCTTTGCCAGGGGTTCCTGCCATCTCCACGGGCGCACGTTATCACAATTCTCCAGAGCAGGCTCCCCTCAGGGATGCACACCACTACAGGCACTCAGCGGACCGAGGGCAGAAGCCTAATGTCCCACCCCAGGTCCTACAGGTTGCCCTCAGCCACGTTGCTGCTTGTCTATATATTGATTTATCAGCTAAAAACCAGCAGCAAAGCCCATTCAATGCAACACAGAGAGGCTCCCTAGGGGAGCAGCCCAGACTAAGATCACATATAACAAGGCAACGGCCACACTCTGTTGTCCCCTCGATCCGCCCTTAGGAACCTGATGTTGCAAACCAGCAGAAGAGTGCATGAATAAAGACGGATCAACCATCACCATGGACGGAGATGACCATGGTGAAGCTGCAACAGTAACTTCACTTCTGGATTTTGGAGCATAGATCAGTGTAGGTGCAAGAGCAAGCACCAGAAAGGCTCTCACTCCAAAGCTAAAAGGAAAGTTTCACAACTGCAGTTATAAAGAGTCCAGACAGCAACTCTGGTCATCATGCCACAAGCAAACAGCACTTGACTATTGTCGATTTGTTAAACTTGTTTGATTTGAAAGCCTGCTAGACTTCTGAATAAGAGAGTTAGATGAATAATTGAATGAATGATTAGGCGATTAATGAAGTAAGAGATGCAAATACGACAGTGGCAATACTGGTGGTGTGGCAAACTACTATTTCCAGTTCTTAATTCGGGAATTCAATTGCAATAGAATATTTGATTATGCTAGACCCACGGATCATGAAACACAGATTTACAGGGTATATTATGTAGGAGAATGGTCTCAACTGAAGAGTTTAAGAGGAAAAGGCACATGCAGAAAGAAGGCCCTGGAAGCCAGTCATCAATGACTGAAGCCTCACCCCAAAACTCAATGTGAAGATAATTCTCAAACATGTACAACACTGAAATCTTTCACTGCGTGACTCACTACTGACATTTGAGCCCCAGTACAGTGCTAAATTTTGTTCTAATAGCTTTAAAAGCACAGTAAGCTTAATATCATCAAAGTAGGATTCCATGTATTCAGGTAACCACAGTGGTAATGCATGCAATTAAGAAATAACACCTCAGAAAAAGAACAATTTTAATCTTTTGTAAGAACATTTATGCCATCTACCCTTTGGCATCTAATTCGAGGCTCTGAATCCTCGTGCAGACAGCAGAGAGGTGAGTTCTCATCACAGCAGTCCAAGGCAGAGTAAATACTGACTATTATGAACAGGACTGCTGAACAGAGCTTTTTAAAAACAAAGTTTTCTCTAACAAAATGATGAAGATTACTGTCCTATCACAGCTACAAAAAGAAATGGGATTATGTTTCTAATAAGCTTTCATGCCATAACAGCTTCTGTACAATTAAACAGGAAAGGTGAAGACTTATTCTTTAGGCACAAAAAAAATCATGCATAGGAATTATCTTCAGCTTGTAAAAGTCTCCCTTTGCAGTGACCCAAAGCTGTGACCCATTTCTCCAGCTTCCCTATTGTTTTAATTAAAAAACAAAAAGAAAGGGAGGAGGTAAATAACATCTCCCTACTGTATCCAGGTTTACAAGACAGCATTTGCTGCTTGTGAAAAAATGCTTTGAGATTCTCAGAATAAAATAAGTGTACATAGAAGGCATTAATTTACATTTACATTCAGTTTGCAATTTAGATTTTACATCAATATATTTGGGAGAGCAAGGATCAGAGAGCATTTCTTTTTTCCCTTGCTGTTCTTACTCATTCTGCTATCGTTTAGATCAAAGCAAAAGAAAGAAAAGCCATGTAAAAAAAAATCATCATCTTCATGATTTGCAAATGTCCTAATCCCCCAAAGCACCAGCTAAATAACCAGATCATTATTAAAAAGAATTGGTGAGTATGATACGATCACTAAAACGTGACTTAAACAATGGGCTGAATAATGCACATGGGTAAATACTAGATGGCAAAGGGGACTGAGGCCACGTGCAGCTGGAAAGCTCTCCCAGCCCTGCATTCACCTGCGTGGATGACACGATGAAGTGTAAAGAACACAAATATCTGTGTTCATGGCTGTGCTGCTTTTCTTTATTTAACACCACTCCCACTGAAAAAGAAACTGCTCCAGAAAATAATTAAGAGATTTTTCCTGAATGCAAAAATTCTGATGATTTTATAGTGCTTCCTTTCACCAGGGAAGCCTGCTCGTGCCTTTCATCCTCGAGGACGCTTTACCAACCCCGTGTACAAATGCTGGGTCCTGTTGTATCTACTGCAGGTGTCTGGCGAAAACCACGGGCTCTTCTCACACTGTGAACAGGAATGTCTGTCTAAGAGCTAAGATGTTGGTTTGGCACCAGAGGCTCTCAAGTCCATGGCCTGCGTAAACCTGCACAAGGCACTTGGCTTCTCCATGCTCTGGTTCCTCATACTTTAAATCCAAGGCATATTGTCAGGCTTCAAGTATCACCTATGGAGCTTTTTCACAGTATACTATGGATGAGAAATGAAAAATAACCTTTGAAGGCTGCTTCCATTGTCTTGCTTATTATTCTTCAAAGTTACAGGGACTGGAAATCAAAGGCAGAGACAACAATAGCAAGCACACGGGAAGAGACAGAAGTCTTCTCTCAAGTACAGAGGGAAGTGGCTGATTTGATTACATTCCCCAGATAGCAACAGGAATTATCTTGCGGAGATACAGGGCTGAAGGATAAGATCCCATTCCAGACCATCATTATCAAATGAGCACTATAACCTCTCAAATACAAAGCCCTACATCCATTTTAATCCTAGAGCAGGAGCAAGCCTACCAGGCTCTCTTTTGTAATATCCTTTTGTATCTGCAGGCTAATTTTCATTGGCTTTTGCTTCACAGGCCTATCATGTTGTGAATTCATCTTTAATTTGGTGTCCAGTCTCTCCCTGCTCAGTAAAAGCATCCATAAGAAGCAATACTATTAAAAAAGAGCATGGTAAAAAAAAAATGGTTTTCACTCTGAATATTACATTTGATGTTTGCTAGATTTACTAAGGAAAAATGAATGATTGTCTTGCAAATTAAATATTTAAATTTAAATTTCGGTTTAATTAACAGAATACATGATAGAAGTTCATAAATATTTGAAAGGAGGTAAAGAGAGAGAGTGCAGGAATTACTGAGGGTAATACACGTAAGAACGTGTCCATGAGTGAAATTCAAAAAGCAGAAGGGCGGGTGAAGATTTAATTTCCACATCACAACACCTGGGTTTTGCCATGCCAAGGGACACAATACCCTTCACTAAGGATTAAAATCTGTCGTGCGTTAGGAAATGACCACCTCTGGCTCATCCACTGATGCAAATAAGAAAAAAACAAAGCACAGCACAAAACAAAACATTAACAGGGAAAGTCCTCCAGACCCAATGGAGGAAATACCCCAGGCTGCAGAAGCAGGAGGTCGATAGGAAGGAGCAGCCTGGCCTTTCCCACTCGTGCCCGGAGGGGCAGGCGCACGGAGCCGGGCTCTGCTGTGTGCCAGCCAGCTCCGAAGCACCAGGGCTGCTGCGTTTGCTTTTGCAAGGCTCCTAGCTGGTCATTAGCAGCTGGGACATTAGCATTAATGCAGTTAAATAAAAAGAAATTCAAGCTTATTTGAACATCGGCAGAAAGTTCATTATATTGGCAATCTAATTTAATAATTCTCTGACCTGTCTGCTTTACTGTTTCCCTCTCTGCACCCTCCTTCCCTCTTCCTCCCCCTTTTTCTTTTTTGGACAATATGTAATTGAAGAAAATATGTAATGCTGCCAAGGCCTGGAAACTGCGACATCAGACCTTCCATACTGAAGCAGGAAATGGAAGAACACAAAAGGAGTACTTACTAGTTGGGTATATACACTTGTTTTAGCTTGCTCTCTGCTTCTGCTGCTTTCAATCGTTTCTTCAAAAGAAAAAGAAAAAAGAAAAACATCAGAACAAAAGGATAACTATTTTACTTGAGAGTCAAGTAATTCACCCATAAGCATCTTCACTGTTCCTTAATAAACAGTAATCAATTTTCTTTTCACTAAGTTGTGACCACAATGTCCTTCTCCAACAAGGTAACTGAAAACAACTGTGAGTGCATGAAATTACTATGTACACAACATGGTGAGAAATCGAAGAGATTACAGAGAACTACTTGTAGGGACAATCTTCTCACCCCCGTGCAGTACAATATAAATTTAGGCATTGTTTTGCCCACAACCTTTTTTCCCCCAGTGCAGAAACGAGTCTGACATACCGGTCTGTCTGCTCTCCTTGATATTACACACCATTTAGACTTAAAAAAAAGGTGTGGAAAAGCACCTTCTTTATCACGTTTCTTGAAAAGTTGAACGGATTCAGGAGTTTGAAGGCAGATTTTGTGCTGACAGGCTGCTTTTCTGTAATGCACTGCAAACCCTTTGACAGTGGAGGTTTTCTTTACAAGGCCAAGAGCTCAGCTCAAAAACTGGTACGGAACTACCCGCTAAGTTTATTATTTACAGCATGTCATCATTTCAAACTAAACAGCTTTTCTTTTGTTCAGCTGTGCCTGTGAGCTTGCTGATATCCCAACAGACAGGGCACAGGTAGGCAATGAGCAGGAGCTTTACTAAGCAGCCAAGAATTCCTTTTACAGCTCAAATATCCACCTTCTTTACAAAGTAAAAGTGAATTTCTAAGGTTCTAACTTCCTCTTTATTTCAGCAGCTAAATGAATTGAATCACAGAATAACTTTGGGCTGGAAGACCCTCCAGAAGCTCTAGTTCAAGCCCCTGCTCTTGCAGAAGTCTACCTAAACCCAGGACAACATCCTTCGTGCAAGGCAATAGCCCAATTTCTGCATAAAAGTGGAGGTTTTGGGTTGCTACGAGATGGGAGGCATCAACCTCCAGACAAAAGCGCTGCTATTTTGAAGGGGACTGGTTTGCTCGGTGGTTGAAGCATTCTTCCAGACAAACAGATTAACTTAACACTTCTTGCGGAGCAGCCTCCAGGCACAGCCTAGAAATACAACCGTTAAAACCCCCCACATCATTCTCTGCATAGAAACAGGAAGCACTAGAAAACTGAAAAGCGAGTCACTGAGGAATTGGACAAACATAAAAATCCCCTTTTCAGGGGCACAACGGACAGATGTAGAAGGAATGAAGTAACCCTTTCCAGTGAGCACAAGTTTTCCCCTCTGCTGTGTAAGGGTCCCTGCTCAAAGGTCTCTACCCCTAGGGAACCGTCACCTCACCTTTTTCAGCAGAGAAACGTCAACCTATCCTAAAAACCACCCAGTAACTGCATTAACAAACAAGAGAACAAAGAGAAAACAATCAAATCTGGTGCAAGATGCCTTTGAGGAAGCTTGTATAAGAATCTTGTACCAGTAGAGAACAGTTCCACCCCCTTCCACCCTCCCATTTCCACTGGATCGGAGGCGGCAGGAGGAATATAGGGTTTTTGGCAAAAGCTCCCAAGGGGACCATTCATTACGTTGTGACATTCTAGGAAATCTGCAAATGGAGAAGCTTCATGGAAGCACAAAGCACTACCAGTAGCTGAAGCAATGCACTACCCGCTTGGAGACACGATTAATTTAGGCTATTAAGCAACACTTTAGTCAACTGATGAACACCGACCCCACACTGCCCGTTTTCTTTGTGACCGCCCGTTTTCTTTGTGACCACCGTGCAGACTCCGAGGTGACAATTCCCGTGGGTCACCTGGACTTTGTGAGACCTTCCTCACCTTCAGGGGCCTGGGGATCTCATCCCAATGCTATGCAGAACATTTCATTTTTAAGACTACTGTACCAACCAGCAAAGCAGCTTTGATGATCCGGTAGATAAGAACAGGCTGGTTTTACACTATATATTTTTGGCCCCGAGGAATCAGTCTACCAGATCTGTCAAGTTTTCTATTCTCTGACAAAATAACCCCTTTATGGAGAGTGCCTCACTAGCTCCTTTGCCAGTTAGTAATTGATTTGTGCCTGAAGCAAATGGGTTTTAATGCCTTAAATTTTTAATGTTGTCTGATGTAGTTTTGTATATTCTCATCCACAAAACAAACAAAAAAAATGCACACGTGAACATTTGTAATATTTGTGAATTTTCTAGAAGTCTAGTGTAAATTAAATCTTTGTCTTTGCGAGGTGTTAATACACGAGGAACTGAAGTATTTCCTCACACTCACTTCTTCCCATGTATATGAAGGGGATATTACCAACTTGCCTATTCCACCAGCACCAGGGGAATTAAATTACTGAGCACAATGTGGGTAACGATGCAAACATCTCTCTACACATGGTCTCCAGCTTCAACAGCTTACACTCTCCCCCTGAGCCTGAAAGAATCTTAAAATAATGTGATGTATCAGAGCAAATGTTTAGAATAACATCTTACTCTATAAGATTTTATGGCTTATAGACTTCCCTAATCGAGACTTATTGAGCCCTCCCTCCTCTAAGCGGTCGAGTGACACCTGGACTTCGCCAGCATCTCTTATGTTTGTTTTTCAGGTCTGTGCACAACTCAAAATTGATTTTGTTACTTCTTCCTACTTCATTCTTGTCATGTAGCACTTTTCTAAGGACACTTCCACAAGATACGAGTTTCTGCATTGCTCTCTCCTTAAAATTTCATCTCCATCTTGAGGCTAAAGGCTCCTCTTGCACAAATTAAACGCAGAAAGTCTAATTAAAGCCCTCATCCCTCAGAAAATACACTACTAATTCAAATGATCTTTTGCCAGTGCCCTCTCTGGAGCAGTTTCTCCATGACTGCAGTGTTATGCTTCCAACTGCTCAGGACTTACCTGCGTTGGTATGCAAAGCACCATCAAACCACCACCAAGGCACACACACCCTGGAACTGGCAGCCGCCTGAGAACTTTGAATAACCAACTTTGAATAAAAACACAGGCAAGCCCGAACATCTCATCACATCTCTGGGAGCTTTCAAATCATGAGAGGGAAGCCACCAAATAGAAGTTACTCACTGGTTGCCATTTCAAGCATTGCTGATTCAGAAATACATGCTCTCATGAACACACGTGGAAAATCTGTCTTGAGAAAGGGACATGTTCAACGGAGACATGGGATTCTGCATTTGGAACAGATTTCCCTCACTCTTTGCTTCAGGACTGACCTGAAAAGGTATCTGCTGTCAAACAAACCTTGGGATCGCTTGGAGGAGTTCAGGAGCCTACAGAACACCAGACATTTTGCATTGCCATTTCAGAGGGCAAAACCTTCCCTCTAACAATTCTGCTCAGGGGTGCTGGTCCTGTTCTTGAAATTATTCGGTTCCTATTGCCAAGGTGCTTAACTGGTGTCTTTGGCTTGCTGTAACTCAAGCCAAATAAAAATAACTGGGTAAGAGATCCAAGTGCAGTTTCCAAAAAAGGTCAATTTTGCATCTATCTCAGGCACAGTATCCTAGCCACGCAACCAGGAAGAGCTGTATTAAGCCTTCCCCTTCCCAGGCATACCAAGCATGCATTTATATATTTTAAAATTATTCTGGGGTTTTTTGACATGCATACAAGCACATCTCATACCGCACGCCAGCCCTGCAACACGAATGCCTTGTGTGGCTTATTTTTAGCATATTCTGTCTGCTGAAACTGTAGTTTCAGGCTTACAGAAGATGTAATTTCCTAGAATCAGAAGCTCTGGTTGCACTTTCCTTCCTGTTGGGCTCTGAAAAGGGCTCTTCTGTTGCAGGCAACTCCACCAAGGTTAGCTGCTATGATGGCAAGAAGCTGATGAATTCTCCTTTGGGATTCTGACAGCCCAAATCCTTCCTTGCTCCAGGAAAATCTCAAAGTAAATACAGAAGACAGTAAACAGCTCCCAGCTGAACATCTTTTATCAAAACAGGCAGTTTGCTGGTGACAAAAGCTTCATTATTATGTTGCGCAATTCTCAGAAATCGACAGGTTAAATAGATGTTTTAAGAGCATTTAGTCAAAAAGAAATTCAACAAAAATGACTATGTTATCAGATTTTTTTTGAAAAAAAACCTAACAATGCCTTACAGAGCTGGAATATAAATTTAATCGTCCTCAAAGGAGGAGGAGGAGTGAAACAACTCAGGACACACACTTTTCATATCCTCAGCACATTTTCAATACCTCATGTACAAAAAAGCCATTAGCCCCAGAACCATTTTGTGGCATTTGACTAAGAAAAAAAAAATCTGCACAAAATACTTTGAAGTAGACTGAAAAAAAAATGATGGGGAATGTGCTTTGTCAAAGACTTGGCACAGATAAGTCAAATCTCAATGCAAAATGCCACTAGTTCAAATATCACTTCCTATACTTTGTTGGCTTTATATACACACACACACACACGCACATTTTCCTGGTATTTTATAAATGTTTAATAGTATTACTTGCTTGGGAGCTCGGGGAATTTGAGATGAGTCTTCAGCTCAGTTGCAACTTAATTGATGTGATATCTCTGAACTGCAATTTCTACCCGTTGGACTTATTTTCACACCGTTCCTAAAGTGTCGCGGCTCTAACTGGAAGTTTTCCCCAAATCCCACTCCCTGGTACACTGCTAAGCACATGGGTAAAGCACGAAGTAGAACCACGATCCTCAAATCCACTGCATAGAGAGCCAGCAAAAAAGTCCAATAAACTATGGGGTTTTTTTTTTTTTTTAAGGTACAACAACCTAGCTCTGTACCATCTAGGCAAACACCTCATGCTGAACCTGCCAGTGGCACTTGACAATCCCTAGATCTGAAATGGGAGGACAGGGAGCACCCCAGTCACGCTGTGTAAACCACACTCAGTATCTTACCCATTGTGTCCACTCCACATCCATGACTCCTCCTCAGCGCAGTCTCTGAGGCTAATTTAGTTATTTATTTAGCATTTCCACACTTTCCATCGCTCCTGTCATCTTCTGTTCCTCTCCCTTACTGTTACACCCCTTGAGATGGGCAGAGCAGAACTTGATGACTGCAGGTGGGGATCTACCAAGCAGGAGGGCAATGTTCCTCTGCCTGCTCTTTTTGCTGCACGAGGGTGACATTTTCATGCCACAGACTAAAGTTTCCAGTTTTCACTAGCAGATGAAATAACTTCCCTCACTTTTCCCAGTTCCTACCCTATTGCTAGATGGCTGTTAATGGTTGAAGAGAGGCTAGATAAAAGATGCAAGGAAGGAGAAACAAGTGGACTCCTCTCAGGGCAGATACAGCTATCGTGTGTCAGCAGTCACTGTATCAACCACACATACAGTTCAACGAGGAAGAAAACGCCATGGCCTCGTTCTCCAGCCTTTCTTCACCCACCATATATTAGAAAATTTACACAGGAAGAGTTCAGATTTGTCTTGAGACTCTCTCAGTAATTTAAACAGTGTTCCAGGCAGAAAGAGGATGGTAAAAACCTGCTCTGTGCCCAATGTGGCACATGCTGAACATTGGCCAAGGCCCCAGGCAGACAGTCTTTATCCCAGGCTGAATTGCCAAACAAAGCAAGTTAAGACACATCATTTTCATAACTCCCCCTTTTCTAGCACTTTAAATAGATGCCTAAACATCATCCTAGTAACTATAATGAAAAATTCAATATTTATTTCATCCTTCTTTGTAATTAATTTTCCCATTTAATATTACAAGCAACTTTCAACAACTGATTTTCTACAACACTTTGCATGCTTCTTGCGTTGTGCCTTAATTATTTGAGGGACCAAGTGGCAGCCTTTGTATTTATAAAAGTAGGAGATAAAAATGACTGTAAACACTAGTCAAAGCTGATTCTCAAGTATAATAAGTGTGGGAATTGGTGCCATCAACATTTTTGCAGACAAATACTTCATTCTCAGTGCTTACACTGGGGAGCTTCCTTGCATCCAAGTCACAGACAGGTAAAGGTGGGGAATAACCAGGGGTGCCTGTGGCACAGGAACCACCCACTTCCCTATAAAGAATCCTAATGGAAGTTGCTGCTGATTCTGGACTCGGTAACAGGCAGAGATTAATTGTATTCCCTTCCTCTAACTACTGAATCCCAACACAGGCATTTGGGAGCTCTGAATAAGTGGCAAAAAGTATGAAAAGAAAGCACAAATCCCAGTGCCAGATGTCTGTATCTGCCGTATGGCCTGTAAGATTGGTGATAAAGGAGAGATTTCTGTCACTCAATTCCTTACAGAATCCACCTATTGGAAAGGCTGGCGCCCAAGAAGTTGATGAAACCACAAAGCTTGGATTCAAAAAGTAAGAAAAAATAACTTCTCTTTCAATGAGAGAGTGAATTTGAATCTCTTACCTGCTGAACGTATCTGTCTGTAGTTTTCCACATATAATAATATTCTATTATGCTTGTTAAGGACTTCCACGGGAGCTAGGAACAAAAAGGAAAAGTAACAGTCATTTCAGGGAGCACCACACAGCCTCATGGAAATGAAACAGATTCTAACAGCATTAGGTGCTCCTGGGTTTCCAAAGAGAGATTCATTTTCAGGCAGCATTGGCTTCACTGTTCGAGAGACAGGCACAGTGTGGAAGAGACCCCCACTGGCTCAGATGCTCTGCTTGAGCAGCACCCAAGCAAAAGCCACACGTACAGCATCACACTTCTCATTTGCCTCAGTTTTACGGAATCAGACCATTTAAAATGGTAAAAACAACAACAGAACTGTGCCATGTCACCTCCACTCCCTGTGGGAGGATCTCAGCAGGACCAGAGTGCTGAGCTGCCTCCAAGCCCCTTTGTCTAAAAGGCCAGGACAAGCTACAGTAAAACTGCTTTTTCTGCAGAGGACTCATGGGGAAACCTGTGAGTTTCCCCCCAGAACTCAGCTCTGTTTACACTGCTCCATTCAATTCGCAGGCAGAGTACCTAAGGTGGAGACAGGCCCTGCTACAGGACCCTTCCCCTGGATCCTCATTAAATTCTCCTAAATTAGTATTATAAAAGTGACAGAATGCTCATGTTTCAGAAGGTCCAGTACTTACTCTCCTTCAGACACAAATGAATCTGAAGGCAGCTAGGCTGTCACAACACTTTCCCAAATAATCTCTCAGTTGGACTGGAGCAAATGACTTCAAATTTACATCTCTGAAGGGAACACTACCATCTGGGACTTGACATTCTGACTGCACAGCAGGCTGCTATTGGTATGAGACCTCCTTTTCCCAAGTTTACAAGAAGATGCATGCTCTAGTTCCGAGGCTGCTTCTCCAGACAGAAGGAAAACAAGGCAGCCTGGGCACAAGCTGGAAGGCAGCTCTGTCACTGGTCAGAGCTGCTCACCACATGGCCCTCATATACTTACAAAATCTTGCTGAATGTCAGTGAAATCTTTTCCGTATTTTTCTAGTGCCTCCTCAAAGAGGTTTGCCTCTGAAGCAGACCACTCCTCCATCTCATCTCTGCACAGGACCGGCCCACCCTGTGGCACGAGCGCAGAGATGGCCTTGGAAATGTCGTAGACATTTTTGTGCAAAGTGTCCATAGCGTGGAACTACATGGTGGTAAAAGAGCAAAACACAAAAGGACAAAAATTCAGGTGAAATAAACACTGGGAACTGAAACAGCTGTGACAAAAGTCACGCACTGAGATCCGAGGGTGAAGTGTGTGGCACCTGAACAGTAAGCAGCCGCTTGCTCGGCCTCAGACTGGCTGCAGCTGCCAGTGCACAGGTCTAACGTTCACCAGGTATTGGGGTGTTTTGGGAACAGGAGGCTCTGCTCATCCCCAGTTCCTCCCTGAGCTGCTCCTGGCAGCAGCACAGCACCCCCGCTAGGGAAACACAGCAGCACTGAGCAGCCCAGTTATGTTTCATCCACACATGGGGCATCAGAATAGAAACCTGAGGGTAGTTATATCAGGGTATATCGCCCACTAAACTTAGCCGGGCATTTTCTTTGTCAAACAAGCCACTAGATTTTCACATAAAACCAAATATTTAATCAAAGCAGCATGTACACACGCACCGCCACAAAGGCCTCAAATCCCGAAAAGAAATTAAGTCAAGTCACATAGCAGAGCTAAAAAGGAAACAAAGAATTACTCCCAGGAGCAATTACTCCTCAGAAAGCTGAGCTACAACTGTCTGCAACTTGCAATTTGCGAGAGGTAGCAGCAACATGCTGTGAGAGGGGAAATGGTGGTAGTAAATGACAGCTTGCTTCTACTTCTTGATTTCTTTAGTTTTAATTAGGACGTTGTTTGCCTTTCATCATACCAGGATTTTGTGCATGTGCACAATTATCCTACAGTGTTTTATCCTAGAATTTGCTCTACATATGATTTTGCATTATTCCAGTTACGAGCAAGGCTTTGATAACAGTACTCCAGGGACTTCATACATTTTATTCACATTTGCATTAAACTCTCTCTAGCACAGAAGTTTAAGTTTTGCCTTTCCTCTGTCTATTCATAATCATTTATGACTATAAAATATTAACGATATCCATCACCACTCCTTAGGTACTTTAAAATAAAGCTCATAAAAGAGGAAAAACAGCTCCACTAAAATATCTTATCTGGCTGCAAATTTTTTCCACAGACAATCTCGTCCAAGTGCCGGTGACAGTCCCTGGTGCTGGGGAAGTGATGAGAAGCAGCATTCCAACATTGCAGCATTGCAGACAGGCAAATTATCATTCACATTCTTTTCAAGACAGCTCCTAAGTCCATGTCGGAGATGGACTGGGCAGCATGTGGTCAACGTTTTAATTAAACCAAAATTTTGGGGGAGAATTAGCTGTGCTGGATCATAGGCCAGACAAAGGTACTTTGGGAGACAAAGGATTCCTGTACAAATGCAGTATCTGGATCACAGGAGGCCACAATTACAGTCCATCTGCCCCTCTACATTTGCCAGCTGCCAGGGCAGAGGTGACTATTTTTTTTATATCTCCTTTCAAAAATTTAAGATCCCCCTAAACTCTTACCAGCGTGATGTCCCGGGAGGCCGCCGCAGCGCTCATGTGCAAGCTTGGCTGCCTGACAGAACTGCTGCAATCCAGGGCTCGGGCAAATGTACCAACAGACCTGAAAGAAATTAAACAGAGCATTAACTTCACGCGCAAGAGAAGCATAAACGTAAATACCCAAGCAACACTTCTTGAGATTAGCAGACTCCATTTCTCAGTAACAAGATTATACGGTTTGGCTCTAGTTCTGAGCCAGAGACCATTTTCCTCAGATGTGGTTTGTTATGAATGCTTTACTCTGCTTAGTTCATATGGCCAAATGGGCTTAGGCGTAGGAGGGGAAATGGTGAAAGACTCAGGAATCACAAATGGATGATTTTGAACTCTCTTATCCCCTGCTTCTCAGGGGCTCCTTGAAATAAGGCTTGAAAGAAACTGATTAGAATCAAGCTTTATCAACACAAAAGAGAGCGGTGCTCGACTGTCCAAAGGTACAAAGATAAAACCAGGCAGAAGAAAAATGCAGCAATCCAATCATTTTTTAAAAGTTTGAGACTAATTAAAATCATCTTTTATTTTAAAAGCATAATATAATATTTTTACCTAAGATATATAACCATTTTTATATACAAGCACGCTCAACTAAATGACCTAATTTACGAGGCTCATACCCAAGACAGGAAGAGGCATTACAGAAAATCCCAAGCACGTCTCAGTGACAGCCATTCCCCATCCCTGCTTCGCAGCCTGCCTTAGCTGAGCTGGTTCTTCTTTCTGAAGGGTCTAATTAGAAAATGGGCCAATTTGCTGATTATGGACAACAGCAATCTTTACACTGATCTTTTCAGGGTCTGTTTACAGCAGGAAGCCTCCGGCAGCTGCAGCAGCACACCCAGTGGGCAGCAGCAAACAGCCAGAGAGCTACCTAGAACAGTGGCTTGAAACAGGAGATTTTCTCCCATCTAGACAGCAATTAATGTTTTTAACTTAACCAGCCAAGTTTCAGTCTTGCTTCCATGTTATGGAACAATCGAGCAGCCCAGGAAATGCTTTAAACTTCTTCCAAACAGATTAGCAGGTTCAAACGATCCAGAATTTATAATAATGGCAAGTTTGATCTTTAGATTATATAGAAAAGACGTTTTGTTAACATTTTTCGAGTACACTGCATTCTCATATTGCACCCCTAAAATCCCACGTTTCGCTCCATCATTTTTCTCTACTTTTTTTTTTTTTTTTTTTTTTTAAACACTCCAACATTTCCCTTAAGTTCTCATCATTCCACTTGTTCAATGTATTTACTACTACAATAAATGCTCTCGTGTGGCATCATTCAATGGTTTTGATCAGCAGCAGAACATCCTGATGAAAAGAACTTGTCTGGACAAATTCTGATAGACCATCTCAGTGTTCCTACTCAATGATAACTGTCTCCACTGACTAACCACAGCAGGAGGCCCCATTATCCATCTCCTCACATCACTTTCCTCCTACACTTACACGCAGTCCTAAACTTGCTTAGCAGACACGAGGAGAGTTTGAGGAGTATTATTCTTTGACGGTTAGAATCATTCAGTCGCAGGTTGCAATGGGGGCCTAAAATTTAGGATATGCTTCTGTTCAGGCAATTGCACAACAGTGTAGAAGTTCAAAAATACTTTAAAAAGAAGCTGATGCACAAACATTGTGTTGGGCTGCCAAAAGCAACAACCAAAAAAAAAAAAACCATACATTTTAGCATGTAGCTACAGATTTACAGGCCTTGCTTTACTGGGCCAACCTACTTGAATCTAGGCATTATAGAACCACCTAGACTCCATCAAGAAAGTGTTTTATGAGACACCTCATCTAAGCAAATTAATATTGGATGTTGAAATGTCATTGACTTAAAGGGAGAAAATGAGCAGAGTAATGAACCATCAAGAACTTAGTTCACTGAAGTCCCCTGCACATTGTCCCAAGCATTTGAAAAACCTCAGTCATTACAGGCTAATGTTTATGTGCCATTTGCTTTTGTTTTATGAAAGTTGTTAACTGTGAAACGTAAATCTGTGTAGCTGTTCTGAGTCATGCAACTCCCCGCAAAGCATGTAAAACACCCATCATTAGAAAACAGAGCACATAACTCAAGCAAGCAAGGGTAACTTCCACATTAGCAAAGCACAAAGAATATACACAGTGCTGGAAAAGAAGTGTCATTAAAAATTACTTATTCAAAAAAGAGGTAAGACACTCTTACCGTGCCACCACCAGAAACTGGTCTATCTGCTTGTCTACCAGGGGGTTAAAGGCTTCCCAAACTTTTGTTTCAAGTTTCGACTGGTCTCTTCCATCATCCTCGCCTGTTTGAAAAGCAAATTAAGAGATATTTGGTATGCCTGTTTCAAAATAGACACATTGTCTAAATGTTCTCATCTCACAACAACTCCACTGCAGAGCCAGCTTGGGATTCCCTGCTTTACAGGCAGCAAAAGTTCAGGTCTGATTCACCCATTTGTCTCTGACAGTGTCAGCTGGACAGCCCCAGCTCATCTGACCTGACCACATCCTGAACACCCAAGGGCTTCCCAAGGGCACATGGAATGGGAAACACTGTGCATCCTCCTCTAAACAGGACAGTTTCTCATCAGTCGCTCTCCCCAGCTTCTCCCTCTCTCCCCTTTAACTTGCAGCAGCTCCAGAGAGAGACATTCCCAGCGGCTCCATGCAGGCAGGGTGGCTGTTTGAACTGCATCAGCATCCCTAAGGGGGGAACTCGTGGTATCAGAGTCTCTTACTTCTGTTTTCTCGACTCTAAACAAATCTAAACACCCTGAAAAAATACAGGAGCTACCGAGGCCTTTTTTTCAGTACCCTTCCCTTTAAAACATCTGGAGATTATCCTTCTCCCAAAGCCCTGTCTTGGCCTGCTGAGGAGGAGAATGCCTTTCAACTTAGCTCATCCTCACTTCCGAGGCGAGCCAAATTGCTGAACAAATTCCAGCTTCGCAGGCAAATTAAACAAAAGTCCTGACCATCCTTCTGCCTGTTCTATCGTCAGGCCGAGAGCACGAACACAGCTCCTAGGCAAAGATGGAAGCGCCTTCACAGCTCTGCCCACATAGACAGCCTGGTGAAAGTCTTTCCAATGTGATTCCCAATCCCTTTTCCTTTGGGCGGAGGGTATCAGGAGGCATCTCCACATCACGTGGGCTGCAGAAAGGAGCAGGTAGAGACTTGCAGCCTCAGCCCTCAGATTTTATACACACACATTTCTGGATCTGCAGGGGAGTGCAACAACAAATGCAAACCAAGTTGCTATTCAGCTCCCTGTTCCTTGGGCGGGGCTCCTCATGCTCCTTCTGCTCTAGGATACAGTCAGGCCAGCAAATTCTTCCTCCTGCCTCTTCTGTAGGTGAGAAATCTAGGATGGCAGCCAAGACTAACAGCTGGAGAGAGGGCTCTCAGGAAAAAGGCACCCAGCAGTAATGGGCAAATTGATGAGGAGGGACAGCTTTTAATTGGTAATAATTTGGGAGGGGCCCTCATAGGGAAGTGAGGCTTGATTAAAAACACAAAAGGCTCTTGCAGGCGCAGTGGAAATTTGTACTTCCCATGGAAATTCAGAAATGTCTTAATAAAAAGATAGTAAGCTCTAAGAGAGCCAATTAATTCAATTTGGTTCAACAACTTTTATGATCTGGACAAATGCCCACCTCAGGCCTGGTTTTATAGATAACTAATTGCTTCCAGTGGGCAACGGTTTCAGTCTCTGACCAGGCCACCCCTCTACAGAGGGCCTGGGGACGAGGCCTCCGTCACCCATACCCACTCCAGCTGCACACATGCAAGTGGCCACATTCAGGATCACCCTTTGACAATTCTAAAGAAATTATGAAAATTACCCTCTTTTAGTAAGTCTGTTATGTCTGCCTGGTATCTGTTGCCAACTCGAATTTCTCCTTTGTCAGCAAGTAGGGTCTTTTGTTGAGGATCATACACCAGCGAATAAAAGAAGAAATCCTAAAAATAAAACAAGAAAGTACACAGTATTATTAACTTTTATTTTAAGCTATACAGATATACTAGCAAGCTTTCAAGGTTGGTTTTGCTACCTTGATATATAATTTAAAAATCTGGTGAACAAACAAAAATCAAAGCATTATCTAAAAGCCCAACGTTACATTTTCCCACTTTCTTTTAGGTTGAAAGTGCAAGCACCATCCTCCAAAATATAGCTCCTTTAACGTACAATCTTTATAATTAAAGAGAGCACATCTCCTTTGGAGCACGTAAAATAAACATTCTTACTGGAAAACGAATGACCAGCCAGGATGGCAGAAGAAAACAACCACAAAGATAACTCCTTACTTTGAGGACCACTGAGGTTCAACAGGGGTAGCTGCACTGAGTGTCACTGGAGGCTAAAAAGGTAGGTTATCCAGTGATAAAATTATCAGAATCTCATAGACTATTGAATGTCTTAGAGGTTACAGAGAAATGCCCTTAATTTGCTTCACATTTTTCCAAAACTTTTTCAAGATTTTTGTGAAGTATTATTGAAAAGCGGTAGAATTATCACGAGTTATGTGATTGGAAGGAAAATAAGGTCCTTGTTTAAGGCATCTCCTGCAGTTTTTGAGAGCCGCTGCTGTCCATACTTGGTAGCAAGGTCATTTCTACCAATACCATCCAGATGTCTGTCCTCAAGGTCTGTAAACACGGGTTTTCCTGAGAACAGGGCCCCATGCTGGTGCCTTCACCTCCCTGCTTGTTCCCTCTCGTTCTCCTCCCACTGTTTTCAGTGTTTTTGCCCTCAATTCAACTCTCATTCTTTAGTTTATGGCATTCCACCAGCTTATCTCAGAGATGAACCAAAGCGTGTCGGCCCACTCCAAAGTCCTGCTGTTTGATTTCTCCTGTTTTAATTATGTTTGAGTTGTTTTATGCATTTGCAACATTTGTCTTAAGCACTATTTAGATATGTAGAAGGCGCACAAAGTCAAATTGTAAGTGACCTTGCCATGTATTCCCTTGAATATCTCCTGAAGGGGAGTAGGGTGCAGATAGAGGATGATCTGGAGATCTTCCAAATCCACCTGGATACCACCCCGTGCTCTGGGTGTCTCTGCTGGAGCAGGGGGTTGGACTAGATGATCTCTGGAGGACCCTTCCAACCTCAACCTTTCTCTGATAAGTGATCAAAGCATTTAGTACAGATCAGTACCGACGCATCGGAGCCCGTGTCCGTTCTATAGAAAAATGGCAGCATTTTGAGCCCTGTTCATCTTCATGCAGGAGAGGTTCTCTCTGTGGGCTGGAGTTTCAAAGCTACCTGTTATTTCTGCTTCCACAGCTCTCCTGCTCCTTGTACACGCTCGTCTACAACTGATGCCAGAATGGGAAGGTCTCCCATGTTTTTTCCAAATGTCTAATGCATCTTGCATCCAATTATGGAATTGAAACATGGTAGCTCTACCCTTTGTGCTGAGATGAGGATTTATGAGAATGGAGTACTTATGAGAATGGAGTACTTATGAGAATGGAGAATTTAATAAAATCTCAATTTTTCAGAGGAGAGATCAATGACTATGAAAGGAATAAAACAGCAAGCCAGTCAAACCAGCTTTGCCCCTCAAGAAAGCACCACGTGTGAAATGTCACAGAGCACAGGACGAGGTGAAAGAAGGATCCACCTTGATGTCCTCCAGCAGAAAACACTGCCCATTTTCCCAGAGTGAAAGTAGCTATTCTAAGGGCAGAAAAAATCTCATATTATCATAACAGCATAAAAGTCACAGCTTGGTCTTGGTAACATCTTGCTCTAACATCCAGTCCCATCAGCTGGAGGGTTTTGGGGGGGGTGCTGGACCACTGGGTTTCACCCTAAGCAAGCGACATTTTTAACGTTGGATCCAGCTCCCACAGGCTCTAGGGTCAACTTGTATCAACCTACTGACAAGAGGAAATGTCAGAGCAGAGGAAAGCTCATTTATATTAGAGCTGAGCAAGGAAATCTGGGTCTCTTGCTCCTTGACGTGCAAAGTTCAAGGCACTACAACATTCTGAGGCTCCACTGCTGCATACATAAGGTGCAGAAAGAGGTTCTGCCTTGCCCGCTTCCACACTATAAACACAGCGAGTGTTTTACTTGTTCCTGCTCCAAAATACCTAACTGTAGGACAAAGGATATGCAGTGCCACAGCAATGCTTTCCAGGCACGCTGCCCAGCAAATGCACAAACCAAACACTGGAGTATAATCAAACTACAGGCTCCAAGGGAGGCCAGAGTCTGCAGTCTGCTTCTTAACACTGTCTTTGTTGGGTAGGGAACAACATTCATTCTGCTGGGGTTTCCTCCTATGGTATCTGAGTGAGAGATGCCTTATATTATCTCATTTATACATTATTACTGGGTATTTAGTGGCTGATGAGAACATGGTAAAAGACCCAAACACACTATGTGTTTCCGACAGCTTTCTTTCCCCCGACTCCTTTTTGGGGCAGGAACAAGGGAACGGAGGGGAAGGAAGGGAACAGTCTTCTACAAAACAAAACCCATCCTTCTCACTGCTATCTGTGACATCTTGTCCAGTTTGGTCTTGGTTCATGTGTGAGTAAGGCAGGAGCCCCCAGCTAGAACACAAGGGCACCACGAGCTGCCTCCATAGCAGCACGAACTCAAATCAGCTCAATTCATTCAATTCATTTCTAAAAACTTAATAAATGTCAGTCTAGGGTCAGCGCAAGCTGTAGCCTAAGGAAGGTCCTTGCACATTCCCAAGGGCAGGAGAGCTCTTGATGGCTGCTTATGGAAAAGAATCCCAGGTGACATCTTTCACAAGAGTTTCCCAGGAGCAGCAATACTCCCAAAATTGCATGGTTCTCCAGAAGCCACTGAGCCTATTTTAGCTGTCAGAACTGTGCATGTTGCTATTGCAACAGTGGGGGGGAAGAAAGGGAGGAAGAAAAAAAAAAAAAGTTTTCTGTTTTAACTTTGGATCCCAGAAAACATTTTACATGTTCAAAAAAAATCTAAGCAACCTGCCAAAAGTTAAAATTAAACCATGACTTTCTACTTCTCCAAAGTGTTATACAGACACATATGCTCGAAGGCTCCTTACCCAAGCCCATAACTACCATTAGCTATAACCAAAAGCTAAAGCCAGTAGGAAGCAGTAGAAAAATTGGCTCAAAGTGAACGTACAGTATGAAAATAGTGGTTATTTTTATTACAGTTTGCTACCTTGCTTTCATAAAGTTGTTTGGGGTGAAGGGGGAATATGCTTTAACTACGTGGTGTTTTATTTTTAGGGGGTACCAAAAGGAACTGAGATGCCAGACATCGACCCAGAAGGCAAATTTCATACAAGCCCATGCATATATCAGAGCAGGGCTGTGAAACAGATGGGCCCATAGAAAAGAGCTTCCTGCAGAACAGGCAAATCCTCTCTCGGTCTCCCTGAGAATTTAACATCAATTGGAAATCGGAGTTTTCCAGCTGCCTTCCCCCATCCCGGCCCTCTCTTCTCCTACCCAAGGCCAGTTTTGCCAGGCACAGGGGTCAATGCTGTTCCCTCCTCAATCCCTTCCCTCCTCCCCGGAGCAACCGGGGCTGCTGCCTGTAGAGCAAGGCGCAGAGGCGACAGGAGGAGGAAAACAAACACAGCCACAATGGTGCTGTGCTTCTGCTTCCCCAAATCTCCCTACATCTGAGTGTTTAACATCCTTCGAGGCAGACAGCCTTGGGATGAAAATGCCCTTTTAGCAGTCATGCTGTGCCAAGAAACACACGATTCCCAAGCAGATTCCCTGGAACTGCTAATACTTTATTGACTGAAGCCGTGCTAAAAAGCACTTTAGAAGCGAAGGGGGAATTAATTCTGGCTTCAGAACAATACCAGCATCGGCCAGCAATTCACCGGGCAACAGCTACCTCCTTTTCATGGTCTCTTCACCCTTCACCCAAGCACATTTGTGCTCTGGGGCTTTTCATTTCTCTGCCATCTGTCCCCCGCGAGCTGGCGCCGCGGCGAAGCGCCGGGAGACGCTCGGGAACCTCGCGCCTTCCGTGGGATCTCTCGGCTCCTGCTCCCTTTAAAAATAACCCACGTCACTCGGCTCACACACTGGGGGCTTGAAAGGCTGAGAGAAACACATCTCCTTCCATCCCTATCTCTGCCACCAAGGCTGAGGGGAAAAGCAGTGCCCTTCTCTACCTACCTGCCTAGGAAACGGCGGATAACGAGAACGGATGGGAATGGGGAGCTAGAGCTGCTGAGAAGGGTCGCTGCTCCAGTTACATACTAGTTAATCCAAACTACCTGCAGCGTGACTAGATTTTGCTTTCAAATTGGCCAATCCTCCTGGTAGCTGGTTAAGGAGCATTTCTGAATGGAACGGGCCCTGCTTGATGCGCTGCCCTGGGGCAAATTCGACCTGTTTTTAGCCTAGTCCTCCAAAAAGAAGCCCAACTTCTCAATCCAGTTGCTTTGTTTAAAACTCTCTTCAACCACAGCATCAGATTAAAATTAATCTTACACTTAAATATTTACTAAAGTGGAAAAATGCATTAAGAGAGTCAAATTGAGGCAGACTAGCATGTGCACCCTGCAAAAACTATGTCTTTTCCTTGTTTTATAGGACAGTTAATGACCATTACCCTATTGTTTTCAATTACAAGACTTCTCTCTTGTATAACATTTAAATATTTTCAGCTGCAAATGTAATTCTTGCAGATGTATTCCAATAATATACCAAGTTTGGTTATTATTGCTCTATAGACAGTTTGAAAAAATAAACGCTACTACTCTCCAGAAATAAAACTCCCAGACTGCTAAATCAAATTCCATGGCTGTCAAGCACAAGAGGCAGACCAGAGAGGCCTAGCCACCATTAAAGGTGCATAAATGTAGTAAGAGGACTGAAACGGCAGTGTTTAAAAACCACAAAAATACCTGAAAAGGTAAAACAAGATTTAAATTCCGAATAGCGATTAACAGTTCAAGACATTTCAGTTCCAAGAGCTCAGCTGAAGGTATTTATGAGGAACCAGATTGCTAAAATCTCAGGAGATGACAAAAATGAGCTGACAAGTTTTTCAAGGCTCCAAATGTCTAGGGTGGCATGTGAAGATCTACCAGCAAATATTTTGGAGTCCTTTAAAAACCTGTACATATGCTACTCCTTGCTCCAGATCTTGAAGCCTCAACAGTTGGGTTTTCTAATTAAAACAGCTCTTTTATTTTTGAAGGACCGAACTCAAAAAATGGGGAACAAGTTCTTCATACATCTAAGCAGAGATGGAGCTTAAACCATTTAACCAGCAATCTCTAAGATTTCAGGAGAAAGCAAAGGTACAGAATTAAAGTGCACTGGTTTGCTTCCTTTCCCAGCGACCCCATCTCGCACCCTCTCTTGTCAGAGGGCAATGAGCTCTGACTTCAACTTGCTGAATGCCAGCCTGAGGAGGATCAAGTTGGGTTCTCTCTACACCAGGAGAGTTCCTGCTGTCACTGGGATGTAGGCAGCAAGTCTTATCTGCTAGAGAGACATCAGAAAGAAATGGGTACTGACCCTACAGCTTCCATTACCAGTGTCCATTACAGCTGAGCAATTAAAAGAGCAACCTTTGGATCATAAACCTGGCAAAAAGCCACCAGTCTTAAGCTGTGCCAAAATAAACTGTTTAAGATTGACAATTCAGAAATAAATAAATAAAGAGGGTTCGTACCTCCCGTTCCAAATATGATTTAAGGGATTCTGTCTCATTTAACAGAGTAACGCTGCATTTGCCTCTAAAAGATGAAAGAAATCACATTTTAGGAACAGAAAACACACATCTTGAATGTTTGTGCAATACACAAAATGGTACTACAGAAGTTATGCACAAAATTCATGATTACATTGAAGAATACTTGAATAACCATAATGGCATCTGCATTTTGGATAAAAAGCACTGGAGGAAAGTAGGCATTACCTAATGTGCGTGGCTGGCAGAGATTCCAGCTGTCGTGAGAGAAACAATTCACGGTGTCGCAGCTGATGCTTCTGCTTCTCTGGCAAGTCAACCATTTCTGGATTTTCCATCTCTTCTTCCATTTCTCCTGGTCGCAAAGAGACGAGTTAAACATCAGAAACACAGGGCAAGTATTGGGGTTCTTGGCCAAACAGAATGTAGTGCTCCATAATTACTAAGTAGGAAAGAGGCACGACACGTAGATGAAATCTACCTTCATCTGAACCCTCATATTACAGTGAGCTGAACAATTAGGTAACTAGTGTATTTTCTTTAATCCATATCTATAAACACTTGAGTTAGTCACCGTCAGAATCAAACTTTCCAGGCTCACACAGGCCACACCAGTCACCAAGCTGCAAGTTGCACTGAAACTAAAAAGTGAAGTTTTTCTTTTTGCCAGGGATCAGAATCCTTATACCCGATTTTTTTTTTTGGGAAAGAATCACAGCCACAGACTGTCCCATCCTGACTGCAACAGCTTCTGGAGGGAAATGCTGTCTGAATAGGTTAGTTCTTTTCTTCAATATATTTTCTTCTGTCCACCCCAACCACAGCCCATAGGTCCCAGTCACAAAATGAACCGGAATGGCACCAGCTTGCCTTGTAACCAACCCTACCTAACCAGGCCAAAGCACCTCCAGGCATTTTTTTACTAAGGAATTATTACCCTTATGCTTCCTGTTCCATCAGCAAGTATCCTCTCAGTAGTACCAGATAAAGCCCTTGTTGGCAAAAAACCCCAAAGAGGCAGTAAAGCTTCCCCATGATGAAGTACTGCAAGAGAAAACACTTGATTTCCCTCTTCCCTATGAAATAAAGGCACTTATTATATTTTTACTACATTTTCCAAAACCATGGAAAAGTTTCCCAGACTGTAGTATAACGAGGTGTAAAGTTTCATATACAAATAGTAAAAGTCTAATTTTATTTCAGCAATACTCTCAAAGGCCAGACTTACGCCTGCAGCTTAATTCAACAGTTGCTGTGAAGAAATCTTATTCCACATACAGGCACAGCTGTGATCAATGTACCCTTAAAGATTAGTTACCTATAAGCCACGAAGTTATCCCCAAAGAAAACAAACACAGAAGATACCTGCATTTTATAAAATGCTAAATTGCATTCAGGTCCAAGTAGGCCTGACTAAAGGAGTGACTATAAAAAAAACCCAACCAACCAAGCGAGCAAACACAAAACACTGCACACCCTTCAGGTCCCACATGATTTATCACTGGGTTTTACTGTCCTGGAACCAGCCTGCTGGTTTATATATCCCTCAGGTAAGCAGCTCCAGCAAGAAAGCAAAAAGAAAGCAGCATAATTAAAGCAGACTGCAAGATGCCATAGCTATTAGAGCACATCAGCTGCTAAGCACACAGCAGCGTGCATTTACATTTGAACATTTTCCTAGGACACTGAATTTATATTTGTGCCAGTTTCAGGGTTCTGCAATTTATGTGCTGAAGTGGATTCTGCTTTAGCTGAAAATTAATATTGTAGCTGCTGGGCTACACTATAGATGCAGCAGCAGCAATCCACAAATAAGGCAGCACGTCTCCAGCTACCTTGTTTGGAAAGCTCTGACACCGACACGGAAAGGCACAAAAACATCCCTGGAGTTTTCGCAGAAAGGGGCTACTGCACCATGTAAAATAGGGGGACACTGTAAGAAAAGGCTTAAAACACTTAATACCTTCAATAGATTTAAGTGTCCATCTTTTAAGAATTACCTTTTTATGCCTATCAACAACTATGTGTCAGTAAAACCTACCAATCAAAGGAAATCAAGCAGCAAAACGGAGCTCATCTCCCAAACTGCACCAGCTTTAGCTACCAGCATGTTGCAATGGTCATTCACTTCATTTATGACTCTCACTTCTGCACCCAAAACGACGAGGGCGGCAGCACCCGTTGCTCCTTACGCCAGCTCTGCTACGTGCAGCCCCTCAGAATGAAAAGGTCCAAGTTAAAAGGAGCTGTTTCAAGAGGTAACAAACAGCACTTCCTTGCTCCACGTACAACATCGCTGGGAATATGGGAATATTCTTAGGGGAAAGAAAAAAGAGGAAAGAAAGCTCTATACAAGCATCTTGCCTCTTCTTCCCACAGACATGATTTAATACCAAGAAGAATGAATGTGACAAACCTATTCAAAAGCGAACGCAGGGCTGGATTTGGCCCGGGGCCCTCTAACATCCCTGCGTGAGATAAGCCTGGCTTGAACAGACCCAGCAATGGGGTCACCCACGTCTCTGCACCCCAATGTGACCCGGAGGAGCTCCTGCTGTGCCAGCCTGTCCCCCGCATTGGGGCTTCACCCTCGCATAGCCCAAGAGTTCCAGCTTGCTGAATGAAGGGGACTTTATCCTAGAGAACAGTGTCCCCTCAAGAGGTGGGCATATCTTCTCACTGCCCACCCCCCAATAAATTAATATAAAATATATATAAATATTTGTACACTTACATATTTCCAAACAGGCTTACCTGCGTTTGACCCTGCTACAGAATACAAGCTGAGCGAATGCAGTCGCTACAGTATATTGGGACTTAAATCACTTAATACGCTCATGAAGTCCTACTTCAAAATTAATCTCTCTGCTTGATAGATGTGCTCATGCAGATTTAAGACTAAACATTTATCTTAATACCAACAGGAATACATCAGCTGGGCAGCAGCCGCCAAGCGAAGGCTACAAGGAGTGCGCAGGACTAAGTAGCATTTGATATTGGATGGCACTATTTTTAATAGTGCTTTTAAAAAGCACAGAGATGAATTTCTGCTGAAAACAAAGACAGGCAGGTTGGTCACAAACAGCAAGACTGGCATGAAAGCTAACATACACGGGGAAAAATTATCAAAAAGTAAACACTAAACTGGCAGGAGAAACCCAAGAGGCAGAAATTGTAATTCGGAAAGACTGCGCTTATGAGATGCCAAATTAAACATCAATATTTGCTAGGCTCCAGAAGGAACAGCAGGGTGAAATGCATCAGATTGGGCTCTGCATCGTCACAGGAGAGAGCACCTGCCCTTTTTCTCCAGCCTCCGTGTCAGGTCCCACCAGCAGAAAACAGGCAAGCAAAGGCAAACAAGGCAGAGGAACCAGGTTCAGAGAGCTCATGTGGAGCTACAGCCTTGGAGGCAGGGAAGTCTATAGTAACAGAAGAATTGGTTAGCATGCTGTCACTAACAATGACACCTTAAAAAGTGAGGGAAAATGAGGTCAACATAGAGGGAAACACAGATTTCAGAGCTCCTGACCTGCCAAATAGTCCCTTTAGTAGCAAAGGGAGCTTAAAATCTTGGTGACTCAACAGTCCAACGCAACAGCTCTGAAGGATGTTGCAGAAATGATGCATTTGAAGAAATTAGCAGCCTAATAACAGATTCCCTCTCTGATGTCTAATTTCTAATAGGCTCATTTCCTCATATCCCATTTATTTTCTCTCTACCAAAAGCTAGCTGATGATTCATGGGTATAAGAAACACGGTGGGAGTTTTAACATCGGGAAGTTTCAACACCCTCTCCTTGCCAGCCTCCCCCCGGAGGAGGGGATCACAGTTTCACCCTCCAAGTTAACAGAGCCAGGAGTGTCATGAAGGGATTGATGCTTTCAGCTGCTCTTGTATCAGCATGGGTGGAGTGAGGGAAAAGGAGGTGGGAATAAAGCAGCAAGGCACTCATTCAAGAGGCTACAAGACGACATTTGACTGCCTCCTGTTACTTAAAAACAAGCTTCACAGACATGAAGCCGTTGAGACACAGAGGCCTCCCGCAGCTCATGGACTGATTGAGCACTGGCACCTTCCTGCTGCAAGACCTGTATTTTGAGAAGCTACGACGCCTACCCCAACCCACTGCCACGTGCGTGCGGCCCCCAAACACCAGCTGCTGGGAGCTGCTCCTGCTGGCTCACTGATCCACCAAGTGGGTCTATGCAAACATGAAGTGTGAACATGTGTGTATATATGCATATAGATGTATGTATATCCATGTGTACACACACATATATAGTCACAGCACCATTAGCAAGGCAAGGAGCGAACTACAGAAGTCAATGCTCTTCTCATCCCGTTCTGCCTGCACTTCCATTTGCATACAATATTCCAACCCGAGCTACCCCGAAGCCTTTGGAAAAGCACTTTGAAGAGTAGTCTCCTCCTGGCGAAGCTGCTTCACTTCAGAAACAGGTGGAGAATTTCCCTAGAATTATTTGCAAGGTGATTTAAAGAGGCTTGTGAATAAAAAGGCTGAGCGATGTCTGGAAGCCTTTATACAGCCCTAAGATTGGCAAGACGGCCCAGACAAGCTTTATATCATTTGATAAAAATAGTAGGATCACGGATCAAATCCAGGCATCAGGTTGCATACAGCAGGTACTAATTTAATGCCTCCTGCTACAGAATAGGCAGCTTCCAATTCATTTTTCTTCTTTATAAAAGAGTTACGAGAAAATACACCAAATGGAAGGTTTTCCCATGATGGGTTATATCAATATAAAGAGTAAACATTTCTTAAAAATTACTATTTTTAATCAATTGAGCAACATGGATTCCACAGCCACATCTCTGCTTCCCTTGTGATTATTTATATATAAAAAAACTATTTTACATGTTCAAGTTCTTCCGTATTTGCCCAACGCGTGTTCATCTCACTGCACTGATCCCAACAGGAGGTCTCAAATAAAGGCATCTTAGACATAAGGCTGCGTGAATCCAGAAACGTCTGCAGCCAGAAAGCTCCATTAATCAGCTGAACAAAGGCAGTTAAAAGATCAGCGATGCAGATACGGACACCTACTGCACATGCATCAAAATGAGGCAACAGGAGACCTTATGGAAATGAACTCCAAGTCAGGGACAGTGTTGAGTATCTTTACTAGAATCTTAACATCCACAACATTTAATTTCATTAAGTCAAGCAGGATGCTGATTTTTTTCCAAAATAAAGCACTGCTTTGTACAAGCATAATTTTGTTCTCTCTTGCTCTTTAAGAACGGAAGCCACACAACCACACATCCAGCTAAACAAATGGAAGTCATTTAGTGGCAATTTTACTCTGCCTCAAAAGGAAATCTACAGGAAAAAAAGCATTCATTACTAATAAAATTAACACTAAATGGCAGTCCTCATTTTTTGGGTTTTTTCTTCTGGTGGCTTTACTAATAAGGTTGTTCTATAGATGTATTTTCTTGTCTTTCACACAGATAGGAAAATGAACAATGAATTGTTTGCATGAGAGAGAAAAAAATCACATCAAAAAAAAAAAAAAAACAGTTCTTTCAGGTTCAGAGAACACTTGCTTGTGTGTAAAGCAAGTCTGTGCTCAAAGAAAGAATTTTCAGCCTCAAAACATTGCATTTCTTCAGACTCATTCCTACCTGCTTCATTTGCTAAATCTACTGAAGTGAGACACTGATGAAGTAATCAATAGTCATGTTGTTTATGGTCAAGCTTCTGTGAAGCTTCTGTGTTCTTGGACGAAACAAGTAGTGCTGCACTCAGTTAGGAAAAAGGCTTTACCTGCTCCCACAACGCTGCAGCACAGTCAAATCTATCCTCAGTGCCACATGACTGCTCTCCAATGAATAGTTTTTACTAATGCAATAGAGAGACTTATTTGGACATAAAAACTACAAAATAAAATATTCAAAAGTATCCATAAGAAGCTAATTTTGCTGTTCTTTTTCTTTTCCCTAACAACATTACAGTGCTGAAGCCATTACATTCATGTTAAAAGTAGGCTATCTTGACAATCTCCATGCAGCACACCTATGCAGGCTAGCCCTGGATAGCCACTGCAGCCTATTTGTGCATATACAGAGAAGTACATTAAAAGAAAATGATGCTTGTCTTTACCTAAACTGAACTGTTGACATATGGAGCTCTGATTGCTTCTTTATCATTTATCTATGTGCCTACAGGAAAGCTTTTAATTACCCAGATAGATATTACTATGTATCCATGCCTATTACCAAATCTTAGCAGTCTGAACTCTTAAATCTCCCATACTTCATTATTAACAAATAAAATCAGAGCAGTAAATTTTTGCATTTCCCCATTTTCCATTTGGACACATCTTTTTTTGGTAACTGTTGTTAGACCTCTCAAGGACCGGATGAGCGAGACCCTAAATTGACATAGGAAGGTGTCATGAAGCTCTATAGAGGCCAACAGGCTGGAAGTGGAAGCATCCCAGGCAGAGTGCCCAACCTCACCTTGAGGGTGCACTAATTATCCTCCTGGAGCTGGGGATTCCTTAGGAGAGGTAATTAAGGCACCAGGTTCACACCATTTTAATTGAATTGAGAAGGCATCCATCTACAGGAGCTTCTCAACTGTTTCATGTGCTTCCTTTTGAACTACCTCAGTGTTTCTCTAAATGCTTGCCTTATACATTATAGACAGAGACAAATACCTAACCTATAGTTACACATTTCTACTTTTTGCATACCCTTCCTAGTATTTTTCATCTGTTTCTCTAATTGACAACTGTAACACGCAAGACAATATCTCCTAACATTTACCAGCTCTTAAAAATCTATTTACTGAACATGTTGAGAGGAGAATCGTGTCACTTTAAACATCCAGTTTGGCTAACAGGAATTTTCTTTGAAAAGCATTACTAATATTGAAATTTAAGGATGGGTATGTTTAGGCTATTTTGTTTACTCATTAGGAAAGTTTAAGGATTTTATTTTTCTCTACTAATCAAAAAGACTACTACTCCCCTTCTTGCATTTCTTCTAATAAGCTATTTAATTCCCTCCCCAAAATTACATTTTTTTTGGAATAATAGGTAGTAGAAAAAGACATATCTTTATTTAGTCATAACTGAAAACTTCTGTCACCTCCACCATGATAACTACAACCATGAATCAGCTACCTTATTTTTTCCTTCTATAAAAGCTGCATGAAAATGTGATTGAGCAAAACAAATGATGCAATTTGACATGGATACAGGAAAAATCAATTTTAAAATTAGAAAATATTGGTACTTGTAGTGAAATTTCCACCCAAGTTTGGAAGTTTTGTGTAGAAGCAACTTGAACACAAACAGGCTTACTTGCATGTTTGTCTGCCAGTACAATAAGTGTACTTGATATGTCTCTTCTTCTGTAGAAACAAACCACCTTTGCTTCCACGTTTCCATTGGCAGTCTGAAACAGGAAACAGAAAAACTGAATTGAGCACAAATCAAAGCCTAAACTTTATGAATGGAGCCAGAAAGCTTCATAAATAATGAGCCCATCCAGGCTACACGGGATGATCTCCTAGCATCCTCTGAAGGCGTGGCTTTTTTCTGACATGCAATTCCAATGTGATCCATTCTAGGGTTTCTAGGGTAGGGAAACTGAACTTGCTCCTTCGCTCCTGCTTCTTTCTGGAGGATCCCCACTTTCAGCAGCTGTAGATATTTCAGAAGGTGAAAAAAAAGCCCACTTACCTTCAATTACAACATGCCAATAGGCCACTTTGTTGCTTTTGAGGGGATACCTTGCATTTGGCAGAACACAAAAATGCATCTTTAAGATCCAGTAAAAATCACCATGAAACACAACAGAAAACAGGCTTAGGTTCAAATGTGTTCTCAAAAATCAGAAGGACACTAGAAAAGGCAAAAAGAATCTCATCCCTACTACTGTAGCCAAAACAAAGATAACATTTCCCTTTTTGACAGCACTGACAATGTTCTTCCAGCTAAACAAGAAGCAACAAGAATCATTCTAATAGAAGAACAAATGAAGCTACAGCAGGGAATCAATTCTACACCAGTGACAATGTACAAACAGGTCTGAATTTGGGGTATTTTTTTTTCCCTTAAAATTTTTAGGATGAGATAGGTGATGAATTTCCTGTAAGACAATACCCAAAGGAATGGAAGAAAAACAGGTCTCCATTTGGGAAGTAAAATTTATACATTTATCCCCAGCTTCCTCATATGTAGGAGTTCTGCTACCAGTTAACCATTTTAGGAAGTCATTATTGCTTCTGCAAGGGAAGAGAAGGAAAAGGGGGGGGAAAAAAGAGCCCTTTTTAAAAGCCATTTGATTTAAATTCAAATGCAAAACAGTAATGCTACATTCCTCCTCTGTGGGCTACAATAGACGACTTGCTATACAACTTCAGAAATTGCATGTTTAGGGCACAGTTAATGGCTCCAGAACAGTTTTCTCTCCACACTCAGATAAAATTTCTGCATCAAGGACTTCACTGGCTTCCCACATGCAACCTATTATGCTTCCTTTTCAGAGCCAATGAAAAGGAAACTTGGCAGCTAAAATACACTGGCCCAGAGGACAAAGAGGAAAGGCAAAGGCTGAAGAAGCTGATAACAGCTCCAGATCTTCCATCCAGGGAGAGTCTCCCTCAGGAAAGTCCAAAGTCCAAAGCACTTCTTCCTCTGGTCAAGCTGATATTTATCTTCACATCCCATAACCATGGCACAAAAAACAAGAGCTGCAGAAACGCTTTGCCCTCCAGGTAGGCATCATCACCTTGCCAATGACCTGTAGTTGATGCTCTGTCCTTTCATGGCAAGGGAAGGCAATCTAGCAGTTCTCCAAGTATTCCAGCACATTATCACAACAAAGGGATTTTCCAGCAGCTAATTACCAGACAACTGCTAAAGAACCATTTTGATTTTCATCTAATCAAGTCATAAATTCGATTGATGACAAAAACTTGAGGGAAAAAATAGTAGTTTACCTTATTGAGTTCTTCTATTCTTCGTATCAAATATGGGTTACTTGAAGAATTTTCAAAGTAGACATAATCTGAAAAGAAAAGGGAAAAAAAAGAAGAAAATGTTAAAATACGAACTGCTAAATGCCACTTGCATACCCATTAATGACACCCTGCCACAGTCATTTCTTTGTATTTCCAGCAGTATTTCTAATTCTCCTGCTCAGTTCTGGGCTATAAGCAAGGAAATACAAACTCTAGGCTAGTACTTGCTAACCAGAGATACAAACAAGATGCATTTGTGCCCTGTGAAAACCATTAACTCACCTTCAGAAATGGAGCTCTATTACCAGCCTGTATATTGAGAACACAAAGCCATGGGATGATCCTTCTCCTCCCCCCTCCTGATGACATTATTTCACTTTTATCACCCCATTTGCTTTCCTTACGTCCCATCCCTTCACATCACAATGTGGCTGCTTTCCCCTACCAGCAACGTGTTTATCTTTCTCCACCCAGTCCACCGCCATTTCCTTAGACTATGAATTATTTGTTCATTCTTCTTCCATCTTTTCCACTGCCTCCTTGTCCTCTATGCCTTAAATTCCTGCATTATCCCAGAATACCCCCAACAAAACTGTATGCAAAGCCAGACGCAGCTCAACTAAGCTCCTGTTTTCAAGCACTATAACCCCCTTAAATTACAGGAAGAAAAGTTCTTAAACTCCTTTGTAAAAACAAGCAAACAAAAACCAGAAAAGCACCAAGAAGTACTACCTGACTAGCCTGCTGTTACTAAGCTCCAAGTTTAAACTCTCCTTATAGATGAGGATCTGGAAGCTCAGCCTTGTGCTGATGTGGCTTTTCTCATCCAATAAATCGGCTAGACCCCAGATAATTTAAACTTATCTGAGGGTCAGCTCCAGTTCCTCCCATGGGATGCTCAGCTTGCACAGTCCTTAACCCGTCCAGACTGTGTCCAGGATGCAAAAACGACTCTTCCCCAAGACATGCCAGTAAATTCCGGGCAACTTCACCTCAGAGCAGCCAATTCATTTGTATTTGGAGTACAAAACCCAAAGCCCCCCGGGCATAGCTCAGGTCATCTTTTTAAATGAACGTATTAGCACGAAGCTCCGCTGCTAAAGGGCCACTTAGTGGTGTGGGGCCTTTAGTAAATAAAGATAACAGCTTGAGCTGTTAGCTTTAATCCTTTGGGAATGGCTGTTAAAAGGTCAGTGAGCACCAGGGATACTGTTACACTCTTCCTCACCCCCAGGCCTCTGGAGCTGCAGCAGGAGGGTTCAAGGGTCCCCTCTTACCCCAAGGGTGGCAAGGGGAGATCCCGGTGCATTCCCGCCCTTCTCTTACCCTCTGCTTTGCCCGGGGCTCCCAACAACTCCAGCTCCAGGCACGGATGTTTATTGAGGATGCTGCCAAATCACTTGCTGAGCGACAGGCCCAAGAGCAGAGCAGCAAACGTGGAGCCGAGGAAGCGGCCGGAGCTGCAGCCCAGACCCCTGCCCTGCTCCTGGGGCACTTCAACGAGAGACTTTAAGGGAAAGATTGCAAACCAAGAAACCCCAGGGGTGCAACCCCCAAAGCAGCAAACGCACAGAGCTGGGAGGAGGTCGCCAAGGAGGAGAGGAACATTAAGAGAAAGCACGGATGTGGTTGAAGCAATGAGTGACAGGGCTGCAGTGCAAATACTCCTACCGTACAAAGCCCTGGGTTACATAAACTCCACAGCGTGCAGCCTGGCCTAACAGAGCACAGAAATACTACCAAACTCTTTTTTTTCCTCTTTTTCTTTTTTTTTGCATCCCATGTGAAGAGCTGATATGGAAGCGCTTCTAACCAAACAACACCGATCTTCACGTCCACAGCCACAGCACCGAGTAACTCCAGGACCTTCTTCTTAACTCTGCAAGTCAGTTCTTAAATATCACTTCCCTCAGGCTTTGAGCTTAATAGTGAGCTCATCTTAGGGGCTCAGCTTTCACACTTAGTTTGGAAGGGGAAAAAAAAAAGTTTTTAGAAATGGTTAAAACACCCAAGTTATCGGTACCCAAATTTCTATCCAAAAGCACCAGCTTTGCATAACATGCTGAACAGAAACCCTGGCTTCAATATTGCTTTGGCTAACTCTACTGGAAGACACAAAAGAAAGCAGAGAATTTAGCAATTCCGGAATAGACATTATAGCGTTTGCTGATCAATAACCAGCGTGAGAAAACCTTGCTGTCATAGTAGGTCCTGCAAGAGAGAACACCTCAAGCACAGCCAAGGAGGAAGCAGAGGCTTCACCTGCTTTAAGGCATCTCTAAGTGCCTTGGCACCCTTGAAGATGGAGAGACTTTCCACCTTTAATTGCAAGGCTCTACAGGTTGGAGAAAGGATGAATTCTCCCCATACACATTACAGCTTGCTAGCGTTTACCTTAGGTTGAGGCCAAATGGGGAAAAAAATCAATTCAAAAAATAAAAACTAACAAAAAAAGTCCAATTTCTCCTTGAAAATACAACCCTAAATTCCATAGGTTGAAGAAAACCATTACAAACATTTACAAAACAGCCTTTATGTGTACGTGTGTGTTCACTCATCTCATCCACGCTGCGGACAAGCCCCCCCGACACCCACATCAGTAGCTGTGCAACTAACGGAGCCCCATTTCTCAGTACTCAAGTTACCAGGAAACAGGTCTCTTCCTCTCTGCTTGTGGTGCCGAGTCCCCTGCAAACCACAAAGCAAAACTTGAGAGAAGAACCGAGAGGAATAACCTACATTCCTTCGCAGAGCCTTTAAACACTTCCAGCTAAAATCAAAACCCATCCTGCACGCACAAACACTCGAGTTACTCACTGCTCCAAACGTACAACAAGGAAATTAAAAGTTCAACAAACTCCTCTTCAAACTCAAACTTTGGCAGGGGACTCCAGCGCTCGCCAGTTGTTTAACTCCTTCTGTTGTTCCGTAAGCAAAGCCAAGACCCATTTCCCACAAAGCGGACTTTAAAGGAGGCAAGACACCATCTCCATTGCCTCTTGTGCCCCAAACACCTCCTTCCTCCTTGAGCAGCACTTCCTCATCCTCTGCAGCCTCTTCCCGTGTTAGGGAATCGAGTCCTTCTCCCACTGCTTCGCAGCAAACACTGTTCCCAGCAGCTTGCTTGAGACAGCAGCTACTCCTACACACGCACGTCCAGCTACAGGAATCCTCTATGGGCTCCCAACATCCCTGCTGTTCACGTGAGGCCTCCTATGTGCCCATAACTGCCAAAAACCTGTGTCTGGAAGGAAAAACGGGGAAAGGGACAATATTTGCAAGCCTCTAAATAACAGGAAGGTATCTGCAGTTCGGCTCCTACCACAGAACAGGAAGGAAGGAGTAAGAACAACAACAAAAAAAATGAAGATTGTGAGACCTGCCTGACTTTACTGCCAAGTGGAATGAAGTCAGACCCTTCAGGCACACCAGGCAACAACCAGCCCTTACCCCCCAACCAACCCACCCATCAGCCCAACAAACACTGGGGTCTCAGTCTCTACCCGTGCAGCAGCTTGGGACTTACACCCCCAAACTACCCCCCGTCTGATCAGCCATGGTTTATGTGGCTCTGCATGGACGTCATCATTAACGGTATCAAAAATCAGAGCTAACAGATTTCCCATGGAAACCATGGGATTTTCTATAGTCAGGCTGAAGAAAGGACCGAGGAGCTTGGCAATGTGACAACACAGTAAGGACCAACACAAGCCACAAAAAAAAGACAAAAAAAAAAAAGGTATTTCTCTCTCTTCCCATGCTGTTGTAGAGCAGCAGAAGTACCCGCATACACACGTGTGCACAAAGAGCCTTTCCACTCCATTTTTTGATGAAGATTGCTGTCAGGAGATGTTATTATGCACTCACTGAACTCCTAGAACATCCAGGCAGACAGTAACACAACAGCACAGAAGCTAAAAACTAAAATGATAACCTAAGGACCACAAGAGGTGGATATTTTGCACAAAAGCATGAAAATAATTGTTCTCAGATAGCAATAAACAGGTTTTCTCTTTCCCTTCAGCTACTTTTAAGACATTATTGCAAAATTGCTTTCCTCCCTCCTGCTCTCTTCATGTCAGCTGTTGAATAAGTCTCCCTCAGTCCACAGTAAAGAAAATAGGGAGCAAAAGAACTAGCACTCTCTAGGTCATATATTTACAAGATTAGCCATGTCTGAGCTACCTAAAAGCGCCGAGATGATTAGGCGATCAAGGAGCACAAACAACTCAAAGGATTTTTATCCCTCCTGATGTGCAACTGGCTTTTTGGGCCATGTGGAGGTCTGTGGCAATGGAATCCCTCCCTTGTCTGCATTTTCCTGGAAGAAGAGGCCAGACAGACTATGTTTTAGTACAGAAGTCAAGCAACCTCACCAGACAGAGCCCCAGAAAGCTCCCCCCAACTCCTACCAGCTGTGATCTGATGGGACGCCCAGGCACAGGACAGATTCAACAGGGAAAGCTGTAGGAGCACAGTATTTTACATTTTATGTAGTGAAAACTCAAACGGTGGTTTCTGAGGCTAAAGGCAGCATCCACCAGGGGATATTCCTGGGGAATTCCTCTCCCAGCAGCGAGGACACCAGCTATTTCACCAGCTCATCCCTATTTCCTGCTGCACACCCAGACATCTGGTGCAGTTTCCTCCTCGGCTTGCCCTGCTGCCGGCAAAACCCCTGAGCACAGAGCAAATCCTTACGCTGGAAGTAGTGGGAATGGAGCCTCAACCCAACAGGCAACTGTCTTAAATACCTGTCATCATTTGGAAGGGACATAGCCAAGGTCAGCAGCATCACTGCAGAAATCTTTATCCCATTCAGAAAGCTAACCAGCACTGAATTTAATAAGCACAGGTTGAGGTGACCAAGGAAAACCATGCTAGTTTTGCTCTTCTGACCTGAGTGACCGAGGCGAAGGGCTGATGAGGATGAACACATCCTCGAGACACATAACCCTCACCTGGAACCGAGCTCTCGTCCCCAGAGGCAGCACACTTGTTAGAAGGACCTGCTGCTCACACAACATGCCTGAGATTGACTGCCAGGTCTCAGTCAAGGCTTATGCTGAACAAAACAGCAAATCATCAAGTGACAGGTTCCCCCCGCTACAGCAGGGCGCCTACTTTGCAACCAGGGATCAGGAGGAGCAAACGTCCTGCAGCCCAAAGCCTGCAACAAACCACTTTTTTTCCCCCCTTCCCCAAGAAAAGCAACATGGCTTAAAAGAACCCTTGTGTTGTAAGCACAGAGGCAGGATCTGGGCAACAGTGCACATACCAACACTTCACCCACGTTTTGTCATTGGTGGCCAATTCCCTACCGTTCATTAACTCAAATCTTTTCCTAATATTTTAACTCTTCTTTCTAAAGGTGGGTTCTCTGCAGAACGATCGAATCATGCACATCAAGAAGCAATAATAAGCTCCTAGCTCTTACTTACCCTGTAAAATGCTCGAGAAATGAGATTTATTTACATATTCAATC